GCTGGGGTAACAGCTCATATAGCATATGTCGGATTTCCTACTTGAGCAGAAGACAGTGATTCATACAATAACTTTTAGTTATAAGCTCACTTCTTGTCAGGAAAAATTCAAAACTCTCCACATCATGACGATTACTCACTTTATGTTTTTAATTGTATGTATCATGTTCAAAAAGTCGCGAAGCAATGTGGAGAGTGGTTACAATCTAAGGAATACATACTGCCTGCATGTCCCTTAACATAGCCTCACAGCAAAGGGTCCCCTCATAATAACTATCAGATTGTTCAACAAGTTGCCAATTGTTATCAGAGCTGTCACCAATTTCAATGCTTTCCAACGCCGCGTTAAAAGTCTAATTATGGAAACCTCTTTTTACAGCATTGTATAATACTTAACATCAGACTTGTGAATTGAATTATTGCATATAATTTATCTTTTATCTGTTTTCAATCTGTTCGTCCATCATTTTTTTTATTTATTTGTTATTTATTCACATGTTTTTAATCCGTTTATGTTGTTATTTTGTGTACATTATGTTTGTATTATTCAATTTATTGTAGCTTTGACTTTAGTGTTGACTGGATTACAATTTATTATTTTTTTTTCATTTCATGTTCCTTGACAATTTGCTGCTATTTTAAGTCAAATCGCAATAACAATATTATTATTATTATGCCCAACAGACATTTTGAGTCTAAAAATACGTGGCACTTCCATGTCCACTAAATATTGGGACATCCTATATAAATGTGACTATAGGATGTTTTAGAAACAACCTCTAGTTTCAGAAATATTGATTAGTTAGTGAAAGAAGTACCAATATTAAGTAATTATCGTTTATCTATATTTTATGTATGTGTTACCGCTAATATCCAAAATCCGCTAATATGCATAAAAACTACACATAATAGGAATTATGCGTAAATACTAAAACCGTCCGTTAGTATGCAAAATAACGGCGCGTATCAGGAATTATTAATAAGTACTAAAATAATCAGTTATGATGCAAATTCACTGTCCAAATTAGAAATTATGCGTATATACTGAAGCTACCAATATCTTATGTTAGTGATTAAGCATAATATCACGTAACGTCATTAACTAAGTAACGTCAAATTTGAAATGCTATGTAGTTAATGATAAAATAGAAATATATTACGAGTAAGTATACTATTACACAACATTTAATATATATGTAATTCTACAAAACTATATGGTATGCATAGATGAAAATCAAACATATTCAGGAATCAGAACGAAAAAAAAACCATAACCGTAACATTTCAAACGACTACATAAAAATTATTTATATTATTATATTTATATTTATTTATTGGAACAAGAAGAGCTTTGATGGCACTTACTATAGCATAATCGATTATTTTTTTACCGCGGTAGGTATTGTTTTGGCAGAATTTTGTGCAATTGCATCGTTGATAACCTTGTGTAATATTCGAATACTGTTTGGACATTTCGGTCTTCATTCGATCTCTTCCTCCGTGACCTATACTTCTGTGACAAACGGTTAAAATATCAAACATTTCTTCAACGGGAACAACATAGCGAACATCTCGTATGTCAATCACTATATTATTAGAATCTTCATTATTTTCCTTTCCCGTTTGCTCTTTATTTCGCGTTACAAGCTTTTCAATATTTCCGACTCAACTATTCCAAATCTTTTAAGTCTACGATACTGTAATGGAGTTTTGGGACCATTATTTGATGAAGCATCCCTAACCTAGAGAAAAACATCAGGAATTAAACGTTAAAATATAGGCACTATATTAGTTTAAAATCATTCTTACCTCGGATAAAAGCACGTCATATTCTTCCTTGAATAAAATGTTCAATCGTGAGTTTGTTCTTCCCTTCAACTTCTTAACTTCATCGACAAATTTAAATTTAATGTTATCAGTAGGTAGTGCAGTCATTGCGATGAGAAACTCCAACAACAAAACAATCAAAACATAACATCAAACTTCAACGCACGCTTCAAGGCACGACCAGTCGTATTTTGTGAAGTTACATGTATAATCACTAATATACGCAGCAGATATTATGCATAATTCCTATTGCTGTGTCAGTTATTATCAATATTTACTAAAAATATGGCGATACTTTGCATAATTACTGACGACTTTAGTAGTTATCGATAATTCCTGATACGCGCCGTTATTTTGCATACTAACCGACAGTTTTAGTATTTACGCATAATTCCTATTATGTCTAATTATTATGCATATTAGCGGATTTTGGATATTAGCGGTAACATATGCATAAACCTGTTTGTTTTTGTGAATAATGATTGGTTTGCTTATATTTAGCTTTTATTGCATCTTGGAAACAACATTGGCACAAGATAATAGTCTCATCAATATTTGACAGGAAAATGCTTCAAAAACAAGTATTCTATCATCATGATGATTCTTTTAGATGTAACATCACACTGTTTTTATAAATAAAGCAATTTGTACTTTTTACATTGACTGTTCGTAATTTATAATTATATTGTCTGGTGAAAAGATGAATGATACAAGTAACAGACTGAAATAAGTATACCATGGAATGATTTTAATTACAAAAATAGACGGTTTTCAGTTTATTGTTGTAATATAGGATGGAATATGTAAGTTGTGTGTGGGTATTTGAGCATAACTATAGCACCATCAACTTTTGGCTTTCTTTCAGTGAGTTCAGTTGTAACCTAATATACCTTACAAGTTACAAGGATAGTAAAACAGACAAAAATAATAAATATTGAGCTGGTTCTAAACGATTTAACAATAATTCATCTTTGTATGTTAGATTTAAACCAAATAGACAAAAAACGAAAATTGTTGCTAGTGCTATTAGGTATGCTTCCAGTATACGAGGTCTGTAAATTATTTGCTGAGACTTTCAAATATAATTACAATTTTATACTGTCATCCTCCAAATAACTTCCTTCTGAAGCCACACAGGGCTGGAGAGTGATTCCACTCCTTATAGCTGGAGTAGCCTTCATCTTGTTGGTTATAGCTGTTTGAATGTTTTCGACTGTCCCAAAATCAGTTCATTTGAGGTGATTTTTCAACGGGAAAAGAAAAAAGTCACAAGGACTCAAGTCAGACGAAAAAGGAGGCTGAGGAGCCAGCCACATTAATACTTTTACTGACCAAAAACTCGTTTATTGACATTGCTGTGTGACAAGGAGCATTATCGTAATGCAACTCCCAGTTGCTTTTGATCTGATGAACGGTGGCATGAGTCCAATTTAACTCTTCCCCGATCATTTTGACTGTCAACCGACGATTTGAATGCCCAAGATCCCGGATTCTGTCAATATTTTCATCGGTTCTTGAAGATGAATGCCTTCCGCTTGGTAGTTCATCTTCAATCGACTCTCTCCTGAAAATTCCTTAAACCACTGAAAAACTTAGGCTCTTGACAAAACACTATCTCTGTAGGCTTGCATTGTACTATCCAGAAGGGATGTTCCAATTTTGTCACTATTAGTGACAGAAATGTCATGATAAACTCAATTCATACCCTCGTACTTCTAATTCCTACGCCACTACGCGAGGAAGTATTCTAATCGCGAAAAATGTCGATAATGAGCTTTGTGTTTTGGATGTTATATGACATGATGTACATCACGAAAAACTATGCAACTCATTTCCGTCGGTCCGTCTGTCCGCTAATACTTGGCCCGTCTATAACTTGGAAAGGATTTCTCAGATTTGGATGACATTTTTACACAAGGTTACTACTGTGCCAAGGATAAGAATGTTCTGTTTTTGAAAATTGGTGTAGGGGCGACGAAGAAGAAGTAAAAAAACAATGAAATAAATGATGATCAAACTTCGTTTTTTTGTCGTTCCCGAGGATCCTGAGCATTTCTGAAAAAATATTTTACGGATAAAAATTAAGGAGTGGGGGGTAGTAGGGGTGCATATGTCTCTTTTTTTAATTTCAATATATTATACACTCCCAGCCCCGGTTCGTCTACGCACCTATAAGCCATATTTCTTACATCATAGGTGTCCCCATACATTTGTCGTTAAAACTTGAGAATGATAAATTTTTTTCGATACGCGTCTCCTTCTGCCATCTGGTCGTACTGTCGCGAGGCTTCGTTCGGCACTGCCGCTTCTGACGATATTGTAAGAGGCAACGTTGCCAGATGGACGGTATCTACCGGTACAGCAGGGAAAGAATGTCTATGGACTATGTGTATGGGTCTGTGTGACTTACCCGATAGGTTTAATTTCTGTAATGTACATGTTTCTAACTAATTTTTCTCTCTGGTGACGGCGTTTCGTAGGAAGTGCAGAGTCTACCTACTTGACACTATTTTTTCCTAGTGTATAAATCACATAATGTGAAAGCTGACGAAATAAAATACGTTTTCATCTGATTTCTGAAGAAACGCATCCCTTGGATGACTGGCTTACGGATGCTTCCGCCAGGCGGCGCTTGTATGGTTGGGGGACATACTATCAAAAGTATATGGAAAAAAGAGATTTTATTGAAGGGTATCCTTTTTTTAATGTTTATGAATTTATCACGTTTTGACTCCTATTGACGTGAACAGTTGATCAGCAGTTGATATCTTTGTCTGTTTATAGATGTCGTGGCCATATCCTAGAATTGAACATTCCATGAAATGGATGTCCATAGAATATTTGATAAAAATCCAGAATATGTTACGAATTCGCTATTGTACGATGTTTAATAATTTTATTAAAATATTCTTAAATTGCACTACTTGTCATAAATAAAACTTTCGAAGATATCAGATATCACAAATCAAGTTGTCACCTACTCGCTACCACCATACTTCGTTTTACTTGAAGTATAACCTAAAAATTAAATGGAAATTACGATAAGTGTTACATACGTAAAATAATATAGTAGTTCAATAGACAAACACAATATTTTAGCTGACATAAGAATTTGACTTTCAATAAATGCAAGATAATGTAAGGTATATCATGCTTCCCTCGACTTACTTTCAGGCACCAGAGCAGTTGACGCCCTGCTCACATCTCCCTTCGCCACCTCCGAAGACAGTGGCGTAGCGGGGGGCCTGTTCGCCACCAGAGAAGAGGTCTGTGACTACCTGCACGTAATGCTGACGCACAAGTTCTTCCATAGGGCTAGGAAAGTCCCGGTGGACGAAAATGAATTGAAAGCTAGGAAGGGCAAAAAGAAAACGATCGAAAAGAAGGCGGAAGGGTCTGCCAACGAGGAGGAGAAGGAGAAAAAGGATAAAGGGACAGATGGGGAGAGTAACGCCGCTACGGCGACGGAAGGGGGCAAGGAGCAACAGGTGGGTGGATAAAGTAGTGTTTAAGCAAGGAATAATTATTCCAAGAGAAGACATTTAGCAAGGTGAATAAATGAGAGGAGAGATGGACTAGTCATGCTAAAAACATGTCATCCACAAAACAGCTGCGCCGGAACACGTGTCCAAATACTCATTTTTTGATAAATTCACTGTCCACCACTTGAAGCGAAAGAATGAGCATTTTTTGTTCAAATTTTCTTTTGCTTCAACATATTTGCATGGTGTAGATATTTATCATCCATTTGCATCCTACAAAACATTTTTAATATTTTTCAGTTGATGTATGTTGTATGGTACAAAATATTCATGCGATCACATCAGTCATTGTGCTGAGTTGAATATTTTCTAATAGGGTGCATCATATTTTGGTAAATGAACATAACATGACTTTTCACGTTTTTTGGAAGGTCACAGTAAAACTACCAGAATTACATTCATATATCCTCCTCACACATGCATGTGCAATAGGCCTCTATTTAGGTATGTTAGCTATCAGATACGTTTTTTTTTTAGTTTCATCTCGCTCCCTCGAGAATTTTGTCAGAGTGACAACCCACTTGTCATTGGCGTGCGATTTGAGTTTAAATTTTGTTGATCTTCAATATAAAACATAGAAATGTGAATGAAAACAACGGTTCTCTGTATGTGTGTGCAAGAGCAAGTAGAGGCTGCTTCAAGGAGCGGCTTGTGCACTGGGCAATTTCCCTATCGAAGTTGAGTTTTGGAAGTGGTACAGTTAAGATAATCTGCTTATTTCGTGTGGCATGTAACCGCCAAAAACTGAGAATAGAGCTGTATTTCATTCAGCATGTAGCAGTTTCTAAACATTTTGTCACTTTGGCAACACTGCCTTCTTAGATGCCGAGCCATCTATGAGCGAACCGCCAAACCTGTAATGCAGGTCAAACCCAAGGTCATTGAAACCGACTGGCGGATATCAGACCACGCATTGATCTCTCTTGGTATAATTACTCCTTGGTTTAATAAGCTTTACAATGATTTCACATATACCCCCCATTACAATACTGTAACAACTACAATTTCAATGTATGATCAGTTTCATTCATTATACCTAGAATAGACGTTACCTTTAAGAAAGTGTTTTTAGTAAAAAAAAGCATGTTGAAAAAATGGACTTAACATGGAATTCAATCATGGAGGCAGTTATGACATTATTTTGGTCTGCAATATACGCCCAGAATAAGGATAAATTTTAAGAAAGTTGAAATAGTAATAATAGGTCTTTATTAGGACGAAATTTACTCGTAGGCTATTCTTCCACTTAATCCTTTTAAAACAGTGAAATTTATATTGTATGTATACGGTATGTCTCATAGTAGCTATCAGTGTATATTGCCATAACTTACTAAATTTCAGAGAATATACACATAATTGGAAGAATATCGCATGGTTTGGTCGAATGAAAGGCTTTAGAATGCCAGTTTGGAAAACATTTCAATTGTCTAGAATCCTTAGAATCCGAATTATTTTATTTATATTTGATTTCCCTCAACTTGTGTTATTAGCTGTTTGACGCCAACTTGCGGAACTGGCAAGGCAAGGAGACCTGCGGAAATAATCTACAACTGCATGAAAACAGTTTAGTTGTAATACCTGTCTTCCTCTAGCAATTTAGCCTTTAGGGCGCAACACAAGAGATTACCAGATTTAGTCCCAAAATAAATGTTTTACGGCTCTCATAAATATTTTCCTCCGGAACTTGGAGTTTGCTCATATTCAGTCTGCCTCAAAATATAGATCTAAGATTGTTCCTAATAAATGCAGATCTATGGCAATTGCTGACCAAGGAGATAAAGAAGTGCATTAATACATATGGAGCTTCTACAAAAACAAAATGTCTCAGGTATCGCGACTATGACCATTTAGCTATCTATGTTGTGATTCTTAATAGAAAACTGGTTTAACATTCAACAGGTGGAAAAAGAGAAACGCAAAAAGAAGATCAGATTAGAGATGCATGATGACCAGAGATTTGTCGACTCCTTGGATGCTTACGTATGGATCTTTGATCCTATTCCATTCTACTATTGGATAATTGGTACCCTGCTGGTTCTGGGTGCCATTTGCGTCTGTCTCTTCCCACTATGGCCGCCATCTGTCAGGTAAAGTACTATTAATAGAACATTGTGTCCTACAGTTCACACTAGCTGTACTAGAGATGGGCATATCAATTCATACCATATCGGTTCTGTTGAGTTATTTAAAAAAATGGTAGCTAAATTAGTGAGTTGTGATTCTTAATTGTTTGGATTTTTGATGGTATCAAAACTTGGATTGATTTATTCAATATTTATTATGACATACCAATATTGTATAGATATACTTGTACTTTGTTATTCATTTCATGCATGTAATACTTCAGCACGTTTTGATGTCTATGTTCAGCCTGTAGTATTGCCAATAATAAATTTGACAAAATTCAGAGCCGTAATTAGAACTATTTACACCAAACACTGGTGAAAACTGAAATACATTCATATGTACTGATGCTAACAGAGAATTTTAACAAATATTCGAAACACATAAAGAAATGTAACACATCACATTAAATCATTCTTAGCGACTACGAATTATTACAAGAAAACACAACAAAATGTCACAGAGCATTCTCCCCTCTTATTATGACTCTTTTAACAGATCCGTAACAAGTGTGTATCACTTGACGGTATTGTTCAACCATACTGGCTGTCATGTAATTTTTGGATCTTTTGCTTTCAGGTTAGGTGTATACTATCTGAGTGTCCTAGCAGCGACTTTCCTTGTGTCCATCATAATTCTGGCCGTCCTAAGGGTGATAATCTTCAGTATCATATGGATATTGACCATGGGGAAACATCATCTTTGGATTCTACCGAATCTAACAGAAGACGTAGGATTTTTTGCTTCATTTTGGCCATTGTATACTGTAAGTATAGCTTCGTATGTAACATATTTATTTGATATTTTAAAATACGAATATTTACCCAAAATTGTAAAAAAGTGTATATCTTATTTCCCACGCCTACTGACAGAAGAAGCAACATAACAAGCATGTGTGTTGTATGTACTTGCTCCCGCAATTACGTTTTTCATAAAAAAAAATAAGAATGATAAGCAAAACATAAACATTGCTCCAAACAACATTATTGTTTTTGTATAGTTTCCAATAATATACATAACATCAGAAAAAAGTACATAGCACATAGCAAATAAAAAACCAAATAACATTAATTAACGCATCTGGCAGAATCCCTAATTTACAAGGTTCGTTTTAATTCTTGTGTCCTAAAAGGACGCCAGCCAGTATCAGGCGACTTTGAATAGATTCACGGTGCTAAAATTATTTTGTAGAACCATTATTTTCATTATCAAATAATAGGCCTAGTATTTATGTAATCCTTTAGCCGAAGTATCAATGCTGTCAGTAACTGGTAACTGTTTAATCCCAGTGCGAGATTACGTTATAACCAGTTATTAATAGCAGTTATCGATATATCGCACACCACTAATTGACACTCTCATTGCTGCAATCTGAGAAAATAATTTTTCCTGAAAAGTCAAAATACAGCATTGATGGTTTTGACAATACCAGGTTCTTTTTGATATCATTGCACTACATGAGAAATTGTACTATTAGTTGTTTTGAAGGCGTGCGGAAATATAGAGTAACTCTACTTGATGCCGTTTTTTAAATATCTATTTCTCACAATATACCATGAAAAATAATATTTTTTTAGTACGAGTATAAAGGTGAAACAACAAGCAGTAAGAAGAAGAGTAAGAAGAAAAAGAAAGACAAGGACTCTGATGCTGAAGAGGAAGATGAAAAACAGGACCATAAATCTGAAGAGAAAGGAAAACTTGTTGAGGATCATCCTAGTGGAAACATAGAGTAAGCACTTATTTTTTATATTAATACTTGAATACTGCCTCTGAGAATCTACCAGGGTTGAAAAAATCATGTTTTTTGTTTAAAACATTCAAATTTAGCTGAAAAAAAACATGTTAAAACACTGTTAATACATGTTTTAAACAGTACAAATAAACTATTGCCTATATAATCTAGCAACGTTAATTAATATCCTTGAAAGTTTTATTACTATTTTTGATCCAGCACATCTCTAATTTAAAAGCGAACGTCGGGGAAGTACCGTTTGCCTTTGGGTAATTTTTCGCGTTGCGATCTCCAGCAAACTAATGTGGAAAGTCGTAGCGTGGTGGTGTGTTTTAATTTTTGTACATTAAAGATCGGCAAAAAAAGAAAGGCAATAACATGGAGGAGAAAGGATCCCGTGTGGAAATATTTTAAGGAGACTGATGCCAAAGCTGGCTCGAAAATAAATTAAAGAGCAAAATGTTTAACCTGCATATATGGATATAGTGCCACTGGTGGTTAGATTGCGCAAGCATATCAAAAATTGTAAACAACTTAAACAAGGAAGTTTGTCAGAAATACAAAATATTCATATATCAAGGTTAAGTAGCTTGGAGAATTGTGAGAAAGGTAAACATTTTTTCGCTTGGAGTTCCGTAAAAAGTAGTGAAAACTAAAAATTTATTCTATGTACATTTTCCATGATTTTATATTTTAAAAATATGAATTTAAGGATTATTTGATTTTTTGTTTAATAAGATGAGTTGTATACTTTTATAGAAATTTGTAACTTATTTAATGTTATTATACAAGTAAATACATAGTCATATTATATGATTATTCTGCTGCTTGTAGTGTACTAGTATTAGAGTTCAATCCAGTTTATTAAGTTCACCAGTTCGTTAAGAAACTACTAGTATTAGTTCCCTAGTTTCATGTTCGACTAATTAATAAAAAATAAAGTATATTTTTTAGTGCCTATGTGTCTTAACCTATGGCCCTTTTAGTTTCTTTTTGCAAAATAAAAATCAATGTTAATCATACTTACAAAAAAATATAAAAAAATTGAATAATTCACAAACGCAAAAAAAACAGTGTTTAAAACATGTTTTAAATAGTTTAAAACACTTGTTTTAAACATTTTGATTAAAACAACAACCCTGGAATGTACTCATGAATTTTTATGACAACATTTCGAGGTGTATCAGCATCATAAATAATAGAATAGAAGAATAATTTAAATAATAGAATAGAAGAATAATTTTTTTGTAAAAACTCATTTGACTCGTTTTATGTACTAATTTCCTTTTTTTGTTTAGACATGATGGCGTGGATGATCCAAATCGTAAAGAAATCTCTGGGGGTTCCGAAAGCGAGAGTGACAGTCAGAGATCCAGCACAGGCAAGGATTTCGAAATCGTAGATCAAGAGGAGTTAGAGTCTTAATGTTGTACTTGTTCAGTAGGTGATACGCATATACATACACATGCATTAATGGAGAAAATATATATAGAGTATAAATGTTCATGTCCGCACATTTCAGATTATGGATTTTGACACGAACATAGGAAATTTGGTAGATGCTTTCAGGCAAGTATAGTGAATGCAACATGGGAACATAAAAAAAGAATCAGTTACAACTTTTATTTCCCGTCACTGTAAGTAGGCTACATGTGCAACGAAATAGGGTTTATGTCATATTACTTTGAGCAGTGAGTATTGACTTGAAATGCTAGTATAATTTACACCTTTACGAAATAAAATTTTTGGTAGTATTTCATTTATTGGTCCTGTAGACCAAAATTTCTAGCTATAATGTAGCAAAGTATGGATTTGGAACCTTACTGTTTTTTATGTAACTTCTGAAACTACCAGTAGATGTCCCTCTGATGTCTCATAATCTGATCAATAAATTAAACCACACACGAGAAATAAATGACTCTGCTGACGTCTCAGCTGTCATGGCAGGAGTTTTAAATTTGAAAAAAAAGATCATTTATTTTTGTAATGTGGCATTTTTTGCCTACTTTCTGAGTGAACTTGGATTCCAATGGAACATTTTGCAAAAAGTAGAAATCTATGTTTTTCGTACGTTCGTGTTCTTAAGTCACAGTTTAGGAGAATACTTGGATTATAACATTGTTATATGATCGTAGGTTTATCTGGAAAATACAATGTAACATGTTATTGTGTAATTTTTGCTGGTGTGTATTGAAAGTAACATTCATCAAGACATAAAGCTTTTTTATTTGACAATTTAGGAAAACAGTATTATAGACAAATACTACGTTTTATCAAAATTTTTTGTAAGTTAAAGTATTTTTCTATAGTACATTGGGAGATTAACGAAATTATTTTTTAGCGAATGTTTTAATTTATTTTTCGATTGTGTATTTTTGTGGGTGATTTTTTGAATAACTCATTTTTAATCGATAAATCAGAGTAATTATAATGTGCATGCTATTGTAATTCTTAATCGGGGTACTTTCGAGAAATGTGTTCATTCATCAAGCAAGAATTGTTTCATAATCTAGGCTGACAGTATTTCATACTAAATTAAGCACAGTGGTCATCTCAGAAGAAAAATGCTTTAATATTGGTGCTTATTTTCAGTAAAAATAATTGACATCAGTACAGTGTTACCATGAGCATTGCATAGTAGGGAGCATCATATGCAGTCCAAATGTCAACACTGGCTAGTGCTAGAGTTATTGTTACGCAGGCAGCATGGAGCCAGTGTTGCAATTTATACTTCTGTGATCCTCTGGGTGAGGTGCAATCATGGTAACATACTGTATAAAATATTATGAAGATACCTTATTTTCGACCCAAAATTTGTTTGAATGAACTAGATATTTGGCTCGAGAGTTAGTTACTATTAGGAGAGTGCTTATAGATAATTATTTATTTTGTGGTAAATATTTGACTTGTGATTTTATAATGGATGTTCACCTCATCCCTCAACCTTTATTTGTATATGATTGGTGCTAAGATATAGTTTGGAACAGAAAAAAATAATCAGATTTTTACAGACGCTAGGTTTATTACAAGCCCGCTACTTATGGTCTTGCATTTATAATCTGTATTATTTTAATACATTATACTGGATGAGATATAAATATATTGTACATATTTCATTTCAACGTGTCCATTACTTGCTTCAGCATTTGGTTGCAGAGAGCTGCGTATGGGTTCAACTCCACCAACTGCAATAGTATAATGAATATTAACAAAATAGCTGATAATGAAATATTTTACAAAATTCTTATTTTGAAGGAATTAGTTTTTTCTATGAAGGAGGGAGTTTTAAATGTAGGATTTTGTCCGTAGATGTGAAGTAATAGTTTTTTGTGCAACAAAAATAATAATTCAAGCGAATAACTAAATGAAAATGGAATTTACCATTTTGGATTGGTATTTACCAATCTGTTCAAGAGAGTGTGGTTATCAGTTTGGTTATAAGGTCCGTGATGTCATCAATCAGCTGTTATATGTGATAGTTATCACCGTAATATTGCGGTATTTACCCAACTCCAGAGTACATTTATATTTCTGGTTATTATTTGAAATGTGATAAGTTAGAATTTGATTTTTGGGAAAATTGATACAGACTGACTTCAGTTTTACCATAAAGTAAAGCACCTTATTAGTTATACTAATTGCTGTTGTTGGGGACATTTAAAAATTTAGTTCCTATATGCTTAACAAACTATCATGTGTAACCATATATCACAAGATTAAAATATGGCCATATAAACTTACTGGATAGTGGCCACCTGTATACGGTTTTACTAATATCTCTTTTCATCGCTTTTTCCTATCATTTCTGCTAAATCAATAAATGCTTTCTTTGACATGAGGAAAAGTTTAAAGTATTGAAAGTTATCATAGCTACAAAGCCATGGTTCCACTATTAAAATTTTGGGCGTCATATGTTTTATTTTCACGACAAACTTGTTTAAATATAAGAAAGACTTTCTCAAGTGATTTGAAACCTGAACAATATCTTATGAAAACAAAATATTTCTCCCATTCATATTTTGAAAGTATTATCACTGTTTTAGACGAAAAAGCACCGATTATTAAGTGATAATAAAAATAATCAGAAATTATATACGCACTTTTCTAAAATAAACAACTTGCAACAAAACCGCGGTTAAAGCCAACGCGTTCAAGCGATTCGACTAACTGACGTCATCACCTCGTGTGTCTTCTTAAACCCCATTTGAACCGCGGTAAATAACACAGAAATTTTAGTTATTCGCTTGGATTTGATTAATGAATCGTTAATCCGTTCATTATGTTATTTTCGACAGTAACAGCGAATAGTGATAGTTGGAAAAGAGACCATTAAATGGAACTTCTGTAATTCGGCGGACAGTAGATAGGATTCAAATTATTTCTATTTTAATGTACGGATGTATGATAGGTAGAAAATGCCCCACTGTGGAAGTTCAGTACTTTCAGCACTTTGTATACCTGACTTTTTCCAAATTGATTTCCCATCCTCGCCGTGACTTCAAAATCTGCTTTTGCCTCGTCTAACTTGCCTGATCTCCTGTAGAGAACTCCTCTCTGGCAGTGTGCTAAACACAATGTTTTCTTATGGTCATCAGAACATAAACTTATTGCCTTTTGAACATCTTCAAGAGCAGCTATAAAAAATTGTACAATCATAAACTAAATACAGAAGTTTCTTCTCGTACATACCATCAAACTTTCTCAAAAACTGATAAATATGCGCCCTGTTGTTATATAAAGAAGGTCTAGCAGGAGCGATTTCAATTGCTTTATTTATAATTTCTAACCCTCTTGCCAAGTCTCCAGTTTCAGCAAGACGTATTGCTTCAAGTTCCATTTGCTTTGTATCCTCCTCATGATTATCAAGTACTTCATTATCTAAAAGCACGATTTTACATTAAATAGTTGTCAACACGTGTTCTCCAATTTGTTATATGTTTACTGTATGTAAATTAGTTGCCAAATAGTAAATACTACCTTTGAGTTCTTCTTGTGGAAGTTGAGCAACTTCATCTAAAGGAAGACTTGGGTTGAAGACGCAATTCAATATTGCTTTATCATGAGCACTTAATTCCACGTCCATTTTGCGCCTTGTTTTCAAAACGACTGATTACAGAAGAAATCAAACCAGTTCCTTTAATCAGGTAACTTTATTCACCCATTTATTTTAAAATTGAATATTCAATGAATGTAAAAGAACGTTTTTTCCGATACTGCTTCGAAAACATTTCGCTATTCTGACTGGATTGCCTTGGAAAACGGGTCAGGTAGTTGTGGATTTAGAACAACTATGAAGGCAAAGCCTGAACCACATGTAACTAATTTCTCCTAAGTTCTGGTGTTCCATCCTAACTAGCAATGGTGATGTAGGTCCTGATGTTAGGGTATTTAATGCAGTGAGTGAGATGTGGTAGTTAAAAGTCTGTCTAGCAGGGCCAGAGGAAAGTCGTCGCTTGGGTCAACAAAGTACACCATACTGTAATAAGGTGTTGACAAGTTATTGGTTCAGCAGTTTTTAAGTGGCATTTATTACTTGGGATTTACGTTTTATTATCGCATTATATGGTTTAGGAAGCATTTTAAATGATACTTGCTAATGCATATACATATTGGAGCGCCGTATTTTCTGAGGACAGATAAAATGATAAAACGTTTCAAAAAAGTATTTTATTTAAAGATTATGTAAAATTTTTATCTAATAACAATTTCGTAATACAATTCATATGAATTGAATTTTAATAAATGCATATTGTGAGATTCCTTTATCTGTTTCACAACAAAATCACCCTGTTATCTTCTCCTAGCCTAACTTTATTGTTTGCTAGCAACCTCAAAGCTTCTGGATATGCCTTGTGCTCCGCTTCTGTCTTTATCCTCTCTGTTAGTGTCTCAACAGTGTCGTCGCTTTCAATTGGAACTGCCTTTTGAATTATGATGCCGCCTGCATCCATTTCCTCCTGTAATAAAAAAATGGAATCAAGTAGACTGACTCAGACCTTTGCACATCTTGATATAAATCTAATAATATTGAACTTGACCTGTTTTTAGTATTTGTCGGATAAATCTTTGAACTGAATTTTGAATCAGTTAACCTTAGCTAATTGAGCTGTAATTTTGTAAACACGTTTGATATGCGTGACAATACAAAATGAATTAGCTGCCGCCATTTTGAATTCAATGAGGGAAACACAATGAGCAAAGTGGCGTCATTCTATATCCCATATGGCGGTTACCGCAAAATGGCGAATACATATTTCATTGTCACCTCTACGAAATGAATGTCAAATGAAAGGGCTTGATGAGAGAAACAATAAGCCAGCTGATGACATTTTAATCCCAAAATGGCGGTTTACATATGTCGTAGTCGCCCAATGGGTATCAAATGAAAGGGCTTAATTAGAGAAACACAATGAGCATAGTGATGCTATTCTAATTTCAATACGGCGGCAGCCGCAAAATGGCGATTTACATTTTCACAGTCGCACCTATATGAGTATCAAAATAGGGGCTTGTTAAGAGAAACGCAGTAACATCATTTCAAATACAATATGGTGACCACGCCAAGATGGCGTTTATAATTATCATAGTCACCTCTATGATATAAGTATCAAGTTAAAGAGCTTTATGAGAGAAACATAACAAGCAATGCGATGTAATTCTAAATTCAATATAGCGGCCATCACAAATGGTGATTTATAATATCCATAGTCATCCATACACTATGGGTATCAAATAAAAGGGCTTTATCGGGGAACATAATATTCAGTGACATTCAAGATCCAATATATGTGGTCACCTCTATGATAAGGGTATCAAATGAAAGCAACCTGATAAGCACATAACATCATTTTAAACTCCAGTTTATAATAAAAATAAAGTAAGAAGGCTATATATATTATGGAGTCCTATCAATAAAATATGAAAGTTATGTTGAAAATTACCAAACTGGTAAAAAATACATTTTTAAAAACAAGCTTTTAGTTAGCTGTTAAATAAAATGAACTAAACATTCAAAAATATGTTTTTCCAATTGTAAATAATTTAATGATAATGAAGCGAAGTTTGACAATAAAAGCGTATTGTATTTTGACAGCAGGATGAAAAAAGGGTGTAACATGCTTGTATTTGAAAACTTTATATGAAGGAGTTTCATTATAGTATTTCTAATCGGAAAAAAATATTTTTCAATTTTTCTATGAACAGCTAAATAAAGCTTGTTTTGAAAAACGTAGTTTTTTATTTTATTTATTTATATTTAGGTACACGAAAATTGACTTCGGTTTCATAAAAAGTGCTTCCCATCATCTGTCTCCAAATAGCTAGTCCTCTATTCCGTAGTAATGATTGCTTAAAAGCATGAAACAACGTTGTATCGTTGCACAGGGTTGGTTATTGTCGCAGGAACTACAAACAAACATATCTTATTCGATCTGAAACTTATCATGTGGTTCTCTCGCTGATAAACGTCCATGTTCCTCTAGTAGCCAAATAAAACCACATATGAATGGGAAGATTTACTAACGTTTCGGCCACATCGGTGGCTGCATCTGTAGTTTTATTTTCAATTTCAAAACAGATATGATTCTCACTTCAGTCTGACTATAGTGCCGTTGGTGCTGCTGGTAGTTTGACGAAGCTATGGTACAAGGTTACTATCATACCAAGGACGAAAAAGTGTTCTGGGTTTTAAAAACCGCTATAGCGAGGCAAAACTACGCGTAGAGCGATACATTTGAGAACAAATTTTGTATTTCGCTGTTTTTCGATTTTCTGATAATTGTTGGGCATAAATAAGCAAAAACATATTTTTAAGGGATACAAGCTAACAAAAAAAATTACAAACTTCGCCTTTAGACCTAATTTTTGCACATGGGTCTCCAAATGAATAAACCTATATTGTTCTGATGATTTCTAAAAGGTATTAAACAACGTTGTATACGGTTGGTCGCAAAGACTGAAAGCAACCAGATCCTATTCAACCTTTGTTTATGCAATTTTTGTGTAATAAGTCAATGCTGGCAGCATGGTGGGTACTCAATACTCCCTTGCGTGACGATGCTACGTCCATGAGGTGGATGTCATTATAAGGGTCGGTAGTAGTAATACTGCGAATTGCGAAACTTACCACAACGAAATGTACAGTGCATCCGCTAACTCTGACTCCAGCTTGCAGCGCCTGTTTCTGTCCATCCGTGCCTTTGAAGAGTGGCAGCAACGACGGGTGAATATTCAGCATTTTGCCACTCCATTTACTGACAAATTTGCTACTTAGAATCCGCATGAAACCAGCCAAACATACTATTTCAACTCCAGCTTTGGCTAGCTCAGCATCCATAGCTTCGTCGAATTGTTCTCGAGTCGGGTAGTTTTTGTGGACGATCACCTGAATGATGTGAAAAAAATGATATGAACGTTTAAGTGTCAATCAGGAGTTGAGTATTGCATATAACTTTTAATTTTTCGAGATACTCAAGGTACATATTGTCATATTTTCTTTTTTCAATAGCAAATGAAAGGATGTTTGACGGACTAAAGATGGAATCAACTACATTAGGATATGACATAATTGTCATGATTGGTTCTTTAAGCACAATGCATATTATCGTAAAGCGAGGAGAAAGCTCTAACCTTGTATCTAATTTTTGTGAAGTGAAGTTGTTCAAATACGAGGGTTGATCCAGATACTAGGTTTCTAGAGAGCTTCATCAGCCACACGGAAGGTGTAAGACGAAATCCGGCAACACCGCTGTGCGCGGCTGTTCCCCCACGCTCGATGCCCCCGGCCGCGCTTCATCTAGTAATGCGCTTTCTAGTTCATTTCGGTGAACTAGTTCAATAGGTCACGCTCACTACACTGGGAACTGTTTCGTGAACGAACTGATAAGAGTGTCAGTGAAAGAGTCGCATCAATCTTTCATCATCCCCGGAGCTAAGAAGCATGGGTCCGGTTAGTATTTAGATGGGTAACCGCTTCGGAACACCTTGTATTGTTGATTTTTTTGGTTTTCATTTTTTTTATCAAGATGAACGTTTCAAATTTAAATTCTCAACATAGTAGCTATGAGATTTACACGTTTTCTAACAATCAAATAATGTGGGATACACTTTGGTTTGTTGTTTTCATCAGTTCAGCAGGTTTATAATATATAATGCAAATCTACCTTTGATTAGGGTTTCCAGATGTTCTCCTTTCAGGTTTTTTTTGTACCGCAGACGAAAATCAAGCGGAAAATGAACTGAAGAAGAAACTTAATAAACATTTTGATGAACCGCAAAATCTATTCCAGACTATTTGAGATATTTAAATAATGTTTGTCTGTCATCTGTGCCATGCGAGCGACTTTTTTCGAAGGCTAAGCAAACAGTCTTGTGAGCAGAAATTGACTAGAAGCCGATACGGTTGAAAAAATAATGAATTTAAATGGAAATATGCATTTTTACAGGCAACTAGTTATACAACCTTCTGTTGACGGTTGTGTTCCGTCTCAATTTCTCCTATCTCGTTCGTTCACTCACAAACGGTTTGCTTGGATCATCGGTATCCTGCAATACCAATCGTTGGTAGTGTACAGGTAAACGAGTTTTTCAGGGAATGATAACTAGTTCACTTAGTTCAATCACAAGATTCGTTCGATTGAACTTGTTCCTTCACGAACTACATATTACTACATTCTTGGCTCAGCAGCCATTCAATATGGAGGTTCCCATTGTTGATCCTAGTGCGAGATTAGTTCCATAACTCGTTTTTTTGCCCGCCCAAAGGACTCCACCCCTGAATATGCATCGTCAGTTGACAGAGGTGTACGGCGACAACTGTACGCAAAACAGAAGGACCGCAGCCCGTAAGCTCCCAGGAATCTGAACAACCTATTCACGGATTGGGGTCCTCCTGTTTTGAAGCACTTTGCGTTGGGGGACAACCGCGTTCAGCGGTGTTGCCGGATTTCACCTCGAGTCTTTCCTTATGGTAGGGGCTCTTTGGGAACCTTATTTCGTATTTGCTAAAATTTGTTGATTAAAAATGCAAAACAGCTTTGATTTCTGTGACAAAGTGTACTTCAATCAACATTGCAAATGTATTTTGGTTTTCAAACTCGCCTTAGTAGGAATGTTAGCTCTTTCTGCTCTCCTCAAACCTTCAACATCAGGTTTGTTCGATATAACTAGGACTATTTCTGCTCCAATATGTTGCGTCGGATCTTGAGTGGCGTCTATCAGCGCTTGAAGATTTGTACCACTGCCAGATATTAGTACCCCAACTTTCTTCTTTTGGATCATGTGTTTTTCGACTATACCAGGAACATGTACCCTCATCAGCCCTGCCATGACTTCTGTGAAGTTTGGAACAAACACTTGTTCTGAAAAAATAAGATGAAACATCAATAAACCGTTCACAAAAAATATTCTTCGGTATTTCTTACCCCACATAGTAAAAACACCGTAGTACTGGACATATATGGATATATAAATATAAGGAGAATTTACTTCTATTTTTAGATTCCGTTGCATTTCCCATCTTCGTGGCGACATTATTTTTTGTGTTGCAATGTTAGCAACATTTGGCTACATGGACCACAGTCCCAAAGCCAATAAATAAAAAACGATGGCAACACGTTAAGCAAGGGCACAGATTACTATCAGAGGCAACAGCCTGTCAAAAATCAGGTATTTTGGGTTTGGTAAGATTTGCGTCACTGTCACTGTGACACTTCGAACAATAATTTTGAAAAGGTTCGGCTGTTTTGTAAATCACTAGGTAATGTAATACCGTACACAGTAATGGAATGTAGACTGACAGATGCAACTTCACTCTAGAATTCTGTGAAAATTTATTTTTAGAATGCATAAATTATTACAGTCATGTAATGACAGCCGACTAATTTCAAACCACGTTTTCTGCGATTATTGTATTTATTATAAAAGACACTATGGATACGAGTTAGCCCTTTAATAGTGAAAAACATATATTCTGCCAATTCTGACCACTTTCTGATAACGGAAAAAGTTACTAAACAATAAACCATGAGAATGAGCACGGGAAGAAAAGCGCACTTTTGACGTTTACTCTGTTCTATTTCCGAACGCATGTAACAGGTACGTCAAACAATTTCGAACGCTAGAGTTGTTAGAGAGTAGTACAAAGTACACTCTGTAACCATTTATGAACGCAGCCCTGTGGATAACGTTCCCTTTAACGAGATAATCACAGGGATACGTGCATGTCGTCCACTACGACGCACCGCGCAAACTGGTATTTGTAAGCGATTTGATAAATTGTCCAGCGAATATAAAAAATTAAAAAAGAATAACGAAATATTGCTACTGCGACAGGAAATGACAGCGATGTCTAATTTTGCTCCTGCTAGGCGGTGCTTGAGTGATTGGGGGTCAAACTGACAAAACTAGACGGGGAAAAGACATATACCCTATTTCACGAGTATCTATCTCGGTAGAATGACAGCTGATGATCTAGTAATATCTCAAAATTCCCCAGGCACAGGATACATAATTCTGACGAATCCGCCAACGTCAGGTAGCCATAGCCGTATTTTGTTTTGTTTTTTTGTCTGCTACAGATTCATTTTGTACTTGCTAACAACTCTTTCATTTAGAAAAGTTCTTTTTCTTGCAAAAAACAAAACGCTACAAACAAGTTTTACTAGATTTACAACTGATTTATTATTGCCAACGTCGCAGACTAACACAAAAATGTCAGTTGCTGATCAGCTGTACACCTCAGTAGACGTCAAAGCGTGATGGATACTCGTGAAATAGGGTATATTTCACAGAAAGATAACCTATGTTTCACAATTTCGTCATGTTTTGACGTGAACATTCAAAACAAACAAAATTCAAATATTTGCTAATGATACATTATATATATATATAAAGAGAAAATTATCATGCGGAGAAAGGTATATAACAAAAATAGGAAAATAATGGACAAAATCCGCAAAAAGTGGATTCGAGCAGAAAATAGGATAGGTAACCCGAGCGATACGTATTTCTGCTGGTTGGCTTCATCAGGCCTAGAAGACCTCGAATTTTCGAGCTTTTTCTTTTTCCTCCCCATCTTTGTTTCCTCAGGTTACACCCGTATCCGGATGTATGGGCATGTGTTTCTACTTTTGTAGTTGCATATGTGCATTCATTTCGGGCCCGATGAAGCCAACCAGCAGAAATACGTATCGCTCGGGTTACCTATCCTATTTTCTGCTCGAATCCACTTTTTGCGGATTTTGTCCATTATTTTCCTATTTTATATATATATATATATATATATATATATATATATATATATATATATTAAATAAAGATATTGAAACTGCAATAGAGCTGTTAAATATTGATATGAAAATCATAATTAATTGGTTCAATGTGAATAAACTCAAATAAAAAATATAGGCTTATAGGAAAAGCTTTAGATGAAAATACGATTACTCATTAAAAAATTGAGTCAATCGAGCCATTCAAATATTTCGGCATATATGTAGATAGTAACTTAAAATATGATGGGCACTATGAATATATTGTTTCAAAAATATACAAAAAGATAAATTGTGTCTATCATTCTTCCTTATTTGTTATATTGTTTGACTATTTTGTTCACAGCAAACAAAACTATATTTTCAAAATTACAAATATCACAAAACAAAGCTATGAGAATAATGCTAAATGAAAAAAGAATAAATTTTATACTGAAAGAACTACAATGTGTAAATATCAAAAATTTCATAACTTACTTGGTTTTCATTTTCATATATTCAAGTTAAAAAATCATCTATCAAACCACTTAAAAAAATTTATTGTATTCAACAATAAGTACCATAGTTATTCTACTGGAGGGAGTATAGACTTTCATTTACAAAATTGTAGTAGCAATATAACGAGCAAGTCAATATTTCAAAAGGGATTGTACAAATTTAATAAATTAAGTAATGATATCAAACTGTGTGCCAGTTTGAAAATGTTCAAGGGAAAATTGAAAAAATATTTCATGGAAAACTAAAATTCACCTAGAAGTGAAGTTTTGTATAAAAATATGTAGTCTTGCAGACATAATATATTATCGATTATACTGTGTAACATGGATATTGTAGCATTAATGCTAAATAAATTTAAAACAACAAACGTTGATCAGCAATTGACATGTTTGCTTATAACCTCAGATGTGATCCCCAACCTTACCAGCGCCTTCTACTTCTAGTTTCCAGATCACTCCCCATGTGGGAAACACTGAACAAAAAAATTAAATGAGACCATTGTTTCAAAGTTTCATTTTAGACGATGAAGAGGTCTAATCCAATGTTTACTCATAATTATTTTAAACGTTTGATAAACGAAAACCTAGGTGCCCCTAAAATGTTATACTTCATGAATGCATCTTATTCATCTTATTCATCCTAAAATTCGTCTTAAGAACATTAAGCGCGTTCAGCCAACACAAAGCGGTCCAGCGATGCAGCACTTTTATACTGACTAGTAGTAGCCTAGAAATAGCTTTGATATTTCGCAACATAATCATCAATAATAAATAAACGCCATAAAAGTTGAATACAGTTTAACAATTACCTTCGCCTTTCCTCGCGATGACCTCCCCCACGACCGTAGCTCCCTGGGACCTGACCAACCCCAAAACTTCATCCACATCGGCACTCTTCACGACCAGTATTCCACCAACTCCACAGTTGAACGTCCTCAACAACTCCGTGGCGTTGATTCCTCCCGCAGTGGCTAGCCATGAAAACACATGTGGTATGATCCATTTAGTGGCATCAAGTCGTACCGCTACTTCGTCAGGCAGAATTCGGGGTACATTCTCCAGGAGACCACCGCCAGTGATGTGAGCGAAGGCTTTTACTTTGCCGGTTTTTACTGCTGGGATCACTGCCTTGACGTAGATTTTTGTTGGAGCTAGCAGTTCTTCGCCTGGAGAAGAAAACAATATTTAATTTACTATCGCAACGGTTTTAAATTAACAACACACTAAAATGTATGTAATCATTAAAGTACCATCAGGGAGGCTCAAGGTGGTACTAGCGGCAACGAAATATGTATGCCATCGTAAATAAAACTCGGAGTGACAGTGAGACGCCCTTGTTCATCAGCATAGGCAATCAGAATTACGTCGCCTATCGAGAAGATTCGACTGCCATCGAGAAGAATCTACTGCCATCTTGGATGAAGGCTTCAGTTCGGCCTAGAAAACGCGGCCCCGCTCTGGACTCGTCGATTCGAAGATAAATACACACAGAGGGCAGAGGTGGATGATGAGCCCGCAGCGCGAAATGCGATAGTCCGGTCGACCTAGTTATAAATTTGTAATACATTAGTTGCACGAGTTGTAATAAATGAGTTTGAAAGTAATAAATAATAAAAACGGTGCTTCCGTTACAGTTACAGTACGTGCGCGCATTGGGAGTGACATTAAGCATTTTTGAGACTGAACCTTGTGTGTGCGCCGAGTGACTGTAACTATTTTTAGAAACTGAACTTTGCGCGTATCGGGTGTGACTGTTTTGAGTGATCTTGAACGTTTAATTTCGTGATCATTACGTGTTCGTTTTGCCGTGTGTGTACTTGTGAGAGACAATGCCTGTGATGGTGGCTGACAGCACCAGTGTGCTGAGGGAGGCGGACCAAAGCCTGTCGCAGATGCTGAGAAAGAAGATCCAGGCCCTTTCCCAGATGATGGCTGACACTACCAGTGCCCTGCTATCCCCAACCAAGAACCAGTCACAGTTGCGGACGTTCTGGTTGACAACCTTATCAGCCGATTTGGAGTCTCACTACAGCTGCACTTCGGCCAAGGCGTCAAAGAACTCTGCGAGAAGCTGTGCATCAGGAAAACCAGAACTACGGCACTGCACTCCCAATCGGACGGGCTGATGGAATGTAGTAGTTACGTATCGAACCTGGAGAAACGTATGGTTGAGATCCATGAGGAAGTACGCAATCAAATCAAAACTGCAAGTGACCGGATGAAGGACCATTACGACGTCAGCGCCGAGAAGAAAGGTCTTTCAGCAAAGCTGCAACGGTCCTGAAGGGACCCTTACGAGGTCCTGAAGATGATTAATGACGTCGTCTTCCGAATCCGGAAGGGTGCCAAGGTAGAGCCAAGATTCGTACGCGACTCCGACTGACCCCTTCTGCTGGAAGTAAGGCACTTTTGGCGTGACCAGAGAAGTACAAGAGGACATGTTTTCGCTGCATCGAGAATACTCGCTGGCATACTGCCTGATCACTTCAAGGGCGTAGCTTCCCTGTTTTAGGAGAAGTTAGGATACCACCGGAGATTCGAGGAGCAACAGCTGCAGGTTGGCAAGGTGCTGTGTATTCCAGATGGTGACGGACTCGTCTGCGTACTGGTTACCTGAGCAGTTCGTCACCAGCCGCCGACCTAACAAGCAGTGTGGGATATCCAGAGAGTCCTACGGCAACACCTGACGGGGTGAAACGTACGGAAACTGGCGATTCCGAAGCTGGAAAGCGAGGTGGATTGGATTGGAGGATCTTCCGGAATAATTATGCTGTTTCAGCATCCAGGCGTGGAAATCCTGATTCAAAGCGAAGCCTTTCTACGGAAAGGAGCCCAGGACAAGACGATACCATGTCACCTTTATATAACATCCAGATGCACAAGGAACTACCTGCCGATATCGCCATGACCGGCATGATCCAGGGAACCCGTTTCGGGACGAAACGGTCTTGAGGAGGGGGCAGTGTAAAGCCCTCGTATCTAGAAGGTGAAGCAACAGTGGGACGCCCTCGTACATCGATGTATGCAACCAGAATTACGCCGCCCATCCAGAAGATCCGATGAATTCTCCAGTTCGGCCTAGAAAACGCGGGAATGCTCTGAACTCATCGATTCGAATATAAATACAAAAAGGGAAGAGCAGAAGCAGAGTCGGCGAAGAGTCAGCAGCAGCAAGAAACCCGATTGTCCACTTGAGATGGTCAGAAATATTGTAATAAATTAGATGCAAGTGTTGTAATAAATTAGACTTTAGTGTTGTTACAATAACAAACGCTCGAATTCTACAGAAATATTACGGCTTTTGGCGGTTACGTCATCAATGTTATACAAAATAAACAAACAGATTGTTAGGGGAAATTGCACACTGCGCAGCTCCTGAGGCACACGTGAATTGGGCAATAAAAAACCATATTCACCTTCTGAAAATACTCCAACAAATTTAGCAAAAATCTTGATTTTGACCACTAGTTGTATTTTCATGCATTGCTACAATTTATAATACGAAGATCAATAAAATGTAAACTCAAGTAGCATCCTCATGACAAGTGGGTTGTTCTCACCCACCACGTACGTTGGCGAGACGAAACAAAGAAGGTATGTTCTGACCACAGATGCAGATTGTATACAGTATGTCCCAGATTTGCTTCTCTATACAGGGATCTCGGCTTTGTCGTAAGTATTTATGCAAACATTCCAGGGATAAGCTCTTTTAAAAGAATGTAATTGTAGCCACCATACTAAATGAACCTTAAACAAACAAAACATTGGAACCAAGGCAAGTACAACCCTAAGTTCGACTCATTGATTTTGATTTTGTTTTGTGCAAATGAGTTGAGGACAAATAATATACTCACCAAAACTTTTATTATCCTTGCTAAAAGGTGATTTCTGCTTATAACTGACTCCAGCCAACTTCATGACTTTCCTGACCATACTGAACCCGTTGCTGTGTACGCCGCTAGATGGCAACGCTATCAGTACGTCCCCAGGTTTGATCTGTGCTATGTGAGGCATCAGTTGGGTACGTTCTACTGCTCCTACAGCAAAACCTGCCAAATCGTATTCTCCTGGCGGGTACATGTCAGGCATCTCTGCTGTCTCACCACCTGTCACAATGACGAGAACTTTCAAAATGAAGAATCGACAGTTATAACGATATAGTAAATAATTATAACTATGGAACCAAATAAAATTGACAGTTTTTTGCCCTTATACATTCTCACCTAACTATATCTGAAGCCATGCACGAAAACAAAATATTTTATAGTCAAGAAAAATAGATTACCTATCAAGGAACATCCAGCTTGTCTACAACCCTCAGCGATTCCACTAACCACTTGCTTTGCAGTTTGGATATCCAGAGACCCACAGGCAAAATAGTCCAAGAAAAACAATGGCTCGGCCCCGTGAGCCAAGACGTCATTGACACACATCGCTACCAGATCAATTCCTATAGTGTCATGTATGCCCATTTCTTGTGCAATCTAGAAAAAAAATGAGTCAAGTATGTTGACTATGCATTTCCTAAGCACTGGTGTCATCACTTCATAAAGAATTAGGTTCGGCACAAGTTAGACCCTTTGAAAAAAGTTATATACGAACATGTATCAGAGGAAAATTAAACGGATCGAGTGAGTCAAACATGGACATACAGTTAGTCTGGCAACGTCGCCTATGGCCCATCCCCCCCCCCCCTCAGCAAGCATTGGTACCGCGGCAGTGACAGCAGGACACTTATCGAGACCGTGGAACAAACGGCAAATGTATAGGGTAATATATAATAGGACTAATAGGTGGGAAGAATTACCGGGGTTGGAAGTGTATAAAAATACCAACTACAAAAAACAAAGTTTGAACGATTTTTATTTTTAGCGTTCGCCGCCACTGGACCGATTTTCAAAAACTATAAAGCCTCTTCGTCCCTGAGGACCGACAGAAAATAGTAACATGGTTTTTTGTGATGTAGTCATTATATATATATTGGGTGATTCAAATTGAGTTTTTTTTTGAAACGCCACTGAATTTGTCAACGACAATGTGCCATTTCTAACGGCAAAATATAAACAAAACAGTCATGAAGCAATATGCGACCGAACAACGTGTTAAAATTATCCAAGCCTATAATGAAAACGGACGATCAAGGAAGAATACATTTCGTGCTTTACGTGAATTTTTTGACGCACAAAATCGGCCTTGCGAGAGGACAGTTTGGAATTTGGTGCAAAAATTCGAGCAAACTGGATCCGTCGCTAACACCAAAATTCCTAGGCGTGCTCCTAGAGGTCGGTCGGAACACAATATTGCTATTGTTGTCGAAAGCGTAGCCGAAAATCCAAGAACCTCGATTCGTCATCGATCGCAGCAACTGGACCTTACTTATTCCACTACACAGCGGATTTTAACAAAAGATTTGAAGTTACACCCATACAGAGTCCAAATAACACAGGAATTGAAGCCTAGGTCACACATCAGGATAAACGATACAATTACTGCGCGGCAAGTTTCCAGGTCGCGTTATTTCACGTAACGGCGATTTCAAATGGCCGCCGCGATCCTGTGATTTAACTCCCTTAGATTATTTTATTCGGGGGTATTTCTAGAGCAAAGTCTACAAGAATAACCCGAACACAATTGCGGAGCTGAAACAGGAGATCAGACGCGAAATTACCAACATAGGACCTGATTTGTGCCACGAAGTAGTCGAAAATTTCTCGAAACGGATTACGTCATGCCACATGAGCAGCAGCGGTCATTTACTTGATATCATCTTTCAAGCATAATTGTAATGAACTACCCTAAAAGGACAAATATGTACATACTTTTTATAATTTTCAATTTCTTTTTTTTTTAAATACTTTATTGTGGAAACCCAATTTGAATCACCCTATATATAAATTTCATAGTAAAGCATCCAGCTTCCTAAAATCACGCTTTCAGGCGAATTTCTACGACCTTGAGAGTTCGACGCAGACTGCGAGACGCTGCCGCGTGCGTGTAGCTGATACTGCGCAGTCGTCCAGGGTGCGAGTTTTGAATAGTGCGTGCTCCTCGTCCATCATATGTCGACGGAGATAAAAATTCGATGAGCTGAGATTATTTCCAATTAGTGAGTATACAGTGTGTACCTTGAGTTTCGTGCCTACTCCATCCGTACCAGAGACAAGCAACGGATCTTTGTACCCAGCTGCGGCAGTGTCAAACAGTCCACCAAAACCTCCTAGCCCACCCATGACTCCTGGTATGCTTGTAGATTTGGCGGCAGGTTTGATGTGGGTAACCAGCTCATTGCCTGCAGAAATGTCTACACCACTGTGCTTGTAGGTCAGCTTTCCGCTGCCCAAAATAGACCTGAAAAACATTACTTTATAAGCACCCCTCAAATCTACTTTTTGATTTGTGAACTTTCACATCTATATATTAGAGGAAATGTAATTAGCGAGAGCTTTACGCATCTGGGCGAATAATAATTTCTAAAATTATAATGATGTTGATTTGTTCGAGTAGCAAGGCTATAGTCAACACTTACTTCGCAATTCCTTTATGGGCAATATCCCTCCTGTATTGAGCACCGTCAAAATTGATAACCTTACAAGCATTTGTTGCCTTAGCTGCAGCAATTACTAGCTCAGGCGCTAGAGCTACAGCTATCAAGACCCTGCCTCCATTTGTTACTATGTTGTCATCTTTCAATGCTGTGCCACAGTGGAATACTACATGATTATGCATGGCAGATACTTTTTCTATTCCTGTAACATAAGAATGAGACTTTTAGAATAGTTTTATCCTCTTATTTCTATATCCTTCCTGACACTAACACACACAACTAACCTGTTATGACCTGTCCTTTGCTAGATGTCTCTGGATAACCCCTGGAAGCGATAACAACACCAACAGCTGTCAAATTTTCCTTCCACTGAATTCTTTGACTACTTAAGGTTCCCTCACAACATGCGGTCATAATATCATAAAGGTCCGAGGCAAGCAATGGTAGGATCACTTCAGTCTCAGGATCGCCAAATCGACAATTGAATTCTAGTACTTTGGGTCCATCTTTGGTCAGCATGAGACCAGCATATAATACACCTAGAATCAAATAAATTAGTTAACTAGAATTTGGAGAATATAAATTGATCGAAAAGTAAAGCTACGCATCGAAAAATATTTTAATTTTCAGTTCTAAAAACAGGTATGTTGACATCTATACTTGAAGAGACGGCAACTGGGGTAACAAAAAGTTCTTACCTACAAACTTAATATTTTCCTTTTTAAATCCCTGGACAGTCCTCTCCAGTACCTCTTTCTGGACATATTTAAGCTGTTCTGAGTCTAATAATGGACATGGGCAATATGCGCCCATTCCACCCGTGTTTGGGCCAAGGTCGTTATCAAATATTCTTTTATGATCCTGTGCTGGTAGCATTGGTACAACCGTATTTCCATCACAAAACGCCAACACCTAGGAAGAAAATAAATCATGGTCTACATGCTATTTGAAATTTAAGATCCATTTGCATCATGTCAAAACAAAAACCACCACAGGATCTTCAAATTCCTGCCTTCTATTGGCCAGCTGACCATAAATACCTGGGCACATGGCAACAGGCGAATAGAAGCAGCTTATTTAGTGTCGCGGTTGTTTTGGCACGGCGTAAATGAACTTAATGTATACACTTTTTCACGATCATAATGTTCTATCAACTCACAGAGACTTCTTCTCCTTGTAAAAGTTCTTCAACAACGACTGTATCACCAGCAGCTCCAAATTTCTTGCCAGTGAGCATGTCATCAATAGCATCACACGCCTCATTTGTATTTTTAGCCACAACTACCCCTTTCCCAGCAGCTAGTCCACTTGCTTTGACCACCAAGGCAGCATAGGGGGCACTAAAATGATAACCATTGTCTATAAGATGGAAACTCCAAGTCTCTCAGTGTATACAGAAAAGTCCAAATGTCACTTTCATATTTTAAAATCCAATCTGGAAAAACTGCATCACTACAATTGCTGCTTACTCGTATTTGTTGAGTAAAATATGATGACAACAGTTTAGAGCTCAAACAGTCTTTTTTGAGAAAGAAAAATTATGAAATATCATGGTAATAAAATATAGTCGCTTCATAAAACATTTCAGTTTGCACTGAAGAGTCTATGAAGACATTTTGACACTTTTCATTCAAACTGAGTGACATTTTGACCACTGTGTATCAAGGCAAGACAAAGTCAAAACTAACTTATTGATGAATTTCTTTGCCTCCTGAGGACTGCTAAAAGATTTCCATCTAGCAGTTGGTACATTGTGTCTGTCCATGAAAGCCTTTGCCCAGTCTTTATTGCTTTCAATTTGTGCTGCATTTTTCTCTGGTCCAAATGTGTTGATCTTTTCAGCTGTTAGAGCATCAGCCAGACCAGTGGCCAAGGGGTCTTCAGGGCCTATTGCTACCAGTGATACTTGACTATCTTTGCAAAATTTCACAATGTCCTGTAAAATAATGTGAAGAAACTGATATTTGAAAAAAATGTGCTAACACAACTATTTTGGTCACCATCTGCTATAGTGCATATAATTTTAATAATTGAATCAGTCAGTGCAAAACCACTATGTCAATTTTTTACCAACATGCATTTTTACTAAAAACGTTTCATTAAACGTAAATATATATTGTAGATCATAAGTCAATACATTCATTTTCCTTCAGATAACACCATGTAATACATATCCGGTGCTTTTGGATGCACTACTTGATGGCGGGTACTTTACCAGTATACTTGTATTATTATATATTCATATTTATCGGTTATAGATTATATGGCTTATCCACTTTGCCCGACATCATTTCATTGACAGTTTTCTTGTTTCCTCCAAAACCATTACCCAAGTCCTTCTCATTTGTATGACTAAGAAGGTCCTTTAAACATACGCTAAATATTTTAAATAGCTAGTACTCAAATAAGCACGTGGGTTCTTCTACAAAAGATTGTCGATTATTGAAGAAAATTGAACGAATGGGTTTATGTATTTATTCACGTTGGTAGATTCATGGTTTAGTTGTAATATCGCATATTCGATCTTCCTAGGTGTTCACTCTGCCTGGATTTCTCATATGTATCTTAAAAATATTACAACATGTGAAATGTATGAACAAACCTTTAAGGTTTAATATGATAATATTGATGATATTTAATTGTAATTTCCAATAATAAGTAATGAAAATCTGATTAATATGATTCTTTTATACCAATGACTCTTTTTCCTGCTAAAGCATTGTAAGTTCATAACAGTTTTTTGGGCTTTTTACATCATTATTAATGATCTGTATCAATAACCTTGATAATGTTAATCCTCTAGAATGCAAATACTTTATTAAGCACAAAGGTACTTCAAAACTGTTTTTTTTTGTCAGTGACACATAAATCTCCTGAAAAATTCACATTATGGGATTTATGAGATTTTTGCACTGACAGTTTCAATTCTTGTGCACATATAAAGCTTGAAATCTAAATTTTCTCATGCTTTGAGGCTTGAAGCAAGATTTGTTAAGATAGGTGAGAAGTAAATGGAAATTGAATAAAGAGATTGTAAATAAATATGTCTCAATAATATTGAACAAAAACAATTGCACAATAGCAATCTGCTACTGTAGTTGTGTAATAATGGTTGAATTGTGAAGCAACATTTTTTTCTGTTTTTTAAATGAGATTAACCATTATTATTTAAGAATTTACAACAACCAGCAACAAAACTCATTGTTATAATAATTATTGCTAGGCTAATAGTAGCTAAGCTTCCGGGCTTATCATAAGACAAATAGCCAGTATATGCTGGAGTAGGTATAATTATTTGAGGCAGCCCCACAACTTGAAATTGGTATTTTCATTAGGGGACCCAATTACTACATTAGGCACAAGCCTAAAAAGTTTTTCCCATGGGTTCCAGCACATACTGCTCAGATGACATTATAAAAGTGTATTCTCACTGCAGTATTGACAGAACCTTAACTTTTATAAGTCATAATCATATACATATAAAATACATATCCACACTTCACAAATTACTTTTATTTACTTACCTTGAAGTTTCTAATATCTAGGTTGACATTTTTCACTTTATCCACCTGTTGAATGGCTTGACTTCCTGGGGCAGCATAAATTCTTTTCACCTTCTCACTTTGAGAAAGCTTCCATGCAATCGCATGCTCTCTGCCGCCACTTCCCACAACCAACACGTTTTTAGACATTTTCACTATAAGTAAAATAAAGATCGAATACACAGTCTTGTTAGGGTACTGGACTCAACTCGCACTCAGATTTGGTACAGAATTACTTCAAATCAAACATCAAACGTGTTTCGTAAAGAGCGATGTGGTAACTTATTTTGCTAACATTTCTTCAGTTATTATAAAGATAACCCCCAAGAGAGTTGGCTTCAGTTTAGGGGGTCATAAAGGTTATCTGGTATTTGTTATGTATAGATATGATAGAATATAGTTTCTATTTACACATATAGTTTTTTCTGCTCACCCAGCTATCCCTATTAATATGTAGGGCTAATTGAAAGAAAAAACATCTCAAACTAATTCAGACTATACAAAATGCTTTAACAGCTCATGCCAAGAACCATTTATGTGCACCAATCAATTTGATGTATCAAATGAACATATGTAAATTTGCTAACAATAAGCAATACCTGTGTCCAATGCAGCGTAAAATTACGATTACCACGTTATTATAAAGTCCTAAGTGGAAGGTATTTTATTAGGAAAAACGAAAAACCAAAAGTTAACCTCTTATATAATAAAACTTCCTGAGTACACTATGAATTATATTAGCACACTAGACACTAATACGTAAACGCGATTTTACGATATTGAACCCAGAGAAACTATAAACTTAATTCAAAATTTGAAAATTATAAAGGTAAAAAAATCAGATTCCAAAGCACGTTTTTGAATTCTTATTTGATAATAATACGGTTTAGTTTGACATGCGCATCGCATTGTACCATTTACAGTGTCATTGCCGAGTCGCACACTTTATCTGTAAATTTGCGACTTTGCGATTAACAATTTTCATCAGGAGGTAATAAATAACACATCATAACAATTATAGTTGGCTGCAGCACCATCCATGAGACACCAACTTTTTCAAAGTAAGTTTTCAATTATGCGAAGAGGAGAAACACAGCTATAATAAATTCTAATAGATAACATAGAAAACTATGACGTCTCATTTCATCTCGGATAACTTATTGGACACCGAAACAAGCAGTATCAGCAGGGTTACTACATGAAAAGCCTATACGATGTCAAAAAAACGAGAAAAATTTCAACTTGTTGACTAAGTAGGTCATTGTGCAAATAGTTCATTCCGTGCTTCCTGCAAGTGAGCATGAAATAAACGACAGCTATCGTCTTATTTAAGAGTATCCATTACCGTAAAATGACAGCCGATTATCTAGTAATATTTCAAAATTCCTGATATCGGAAAACGACACATAATTCTGACGGATCCGTTAATGCCAGGTTTCAAAGTCATTTTTTGTTTTGGTTTCTTTTTACACTATAGACTCATTTTGCAATTGTTGAAAGCTCTTTGATTAAGAAAAGTTCATTTGCATACAAAAGTCAAAACGCTAAGTACAAGTTTTACTAGATTTACACCTACATAATGTAAAAAAAACGACGTAATACCCCTGCAGGTTTCAAGCATCATTTGACTATAGTCAGGCATTTTTACTGGTATGTCAAGAAAACCCTGCCCCAAAAATTTTTTTGACAAATTAAGATGCATCTGTTCTACGCACCTACGTATAGGCATTCTTGACGTACTCGCAAGACGTGCGCTTGATCTTTTCTTTACGCCGTCAAGTCCAAGATTCCCCCCTCCGTGCTACAAAATAGTTGATTCTTGATTCTCAAAGTTGGTAGTAGACCAAATTTTAGGCTATAGTTATTGTCGAACGTTGGTTGGGAAATTTGTTTTTTCAGATTTATACTTGACAACGTCGTATCGTGGACTTGTTGCTTAATAGCGAATTCACCAATCAAATTCAATTATCTTGCCGCCTTTTGTCTTGATCTCTTCATGCAATATGTCTGCCGAATAGTCTGAATGGTCGTTGCATCAGTACGATGTAAAATAGTTATACGTACACGTTGAAACAGAAACAGGCTTGTATTTGCTGTAATTCTGTTTATGTCCTACGTATAGGTTCCTAAAGAAACATTTTCATCGTTATTCATACTCAACTAGAAGATGACAGATCCAGATATACCTGGTACCCTGACACCTTCTGAAGATCCCCAAGAATCTACAAAATGGGGAAAACTTGTAGGTCTCATACCATGTCTCCAGAATGTCGGTAAGATTTTCAGATACGAGCATTCGTTATTGTTGTAAATAAAGAGTGCTGCTATACAGAAATTGCATTCATTTGGATTGTGTTTTGTACCTTGTTTTTCATAAGGTGTCTCATTCCAATAATTTTGCTGCATATCAGTGTCCTGAATTTCCATTCAGGTCACTGAGATGCAGTCATATCTATGAGTAAATCTTTTGCAAACAATTCAAATTCAACATAAATTTAACTATATAACCCACAGGTGCTATAGCAACCCAGTTTCTACTTCAAAATTCAAGAGATTTCATGTTTTTCTCACTATAATTTTCGTCATCAGTTCTCAAAATTATCTGTGTATGAAGATTTGTAATAATGGCAGATGTATTCATATATATTTCTCCAGAAAGTTCTATGATATTTTGATATTTTTTGACAGAAGTTATCCAAAAACCACTGTGTATCTATACTTTTCCTGACAAATGTGGAGATACCACCTGGCAGATCTTTAATGTGTGTATGTCTAATGCACACATGTTCCCTTGTTAGATTATGTGATGTCCTCCACTTTCAACTCTATATCTCTATAGCGATATACCCATGGTACCCACAGGTGTTTAGGCCTTGGACCTTCATGGTAGTTCAGGTATAAAAGAAGAGAAATTTTTTTTGGGATGGATAGGACAGCTGGGCAGTCGCAAAGCATGTACTTGACTGTTCACATCCTCTACATGAGAATGGGTCACTCGATCTCCCATTCTAGAGATGGATTTTCAGCTCACAGTGACCAGTAAGAATACTAATGGCACCTACTCACCTACTCAAGGCAGTCTGGAGGACCTTAGCCTTTAGGTCATAGTCACTGTAATGACAGTGTCTATCGTTAATCTGCCAGGTCTGGTGGCAAAGAAACCGGACAAGTTGCAGGGGAAAGGGGTGAGAGAGAAAGGAAAGAAGTAGGAATGAGAAAAGAAAGAAAAGTAATTCTTTGATATAAATTTTGAGGTGACATAGATCTAGGGACTGTTACATTGTACTATATGAATTTTGACTTGTCATAAACTAAATTTTGGGTGTTTGGTTTTTAAAACTATATTTTTTAGTCTTAACATTAATTTAATTTTGTAGATAGTGCAGGTTGCTACCTAGGATTGTTTGTGTGTCTCTTCGACTGTGAAATCCACTGCTTCACGCAACAAAGGGATCCTGTGTGATTCTGCTTGCATGTAGCGCCATTGTGCTATACCTATGATGAAATCCCTATCGCAGAGGATGTCATCTCTATAGATGGTATCATTTGATATGTACCATGGGGCATTAGATATTGTTCTGAGAGTTCTACTCTACAGAACTTGTAGTTTATGCATATGTGACTAAGCTAAAAAGCACCAAGCTGCACATGCTTGCAGGTCTGATGATGGTTTTGTATATCCGAATTTAATTGATCAAACTCAATTTTGAGGTTCTACATAAAAAAGAATGGAGTTGTGAAATGTAATTTGAAATTTAATTTTCAGTTGTTCAATGTGTGCCTGCCTAGCCATACCCTTGTCTAGTGTAAGACCTATTTATTTTCAAATTAAAAAAAAACCTGTATAAACAGTCAAATATTAAAAAATAAGATTTAAAGGCATATATCACAATATTCTTCCACACTATAAAAGCTATTTTCAATTAAATAGTCTTTTAAAAAATTCTTAAATGTCTTTAGACTGTGGCAATTCTTTATTACCAAAGGAAGTAGGTTAAACATTTTTAGGCCATTAATCTTTGGGCACTTACACATAATTTGAGTTCTATAGGGTGGTATATAAAAGTTTTCTTAATCCTCATATTAATTTAATGCAGTTGACTGTGTGTTGGGAATTTTTCTCTATTTTTAAATATGTATAAACAAGTTTCCAATATATATGAACCAGTAAGTGTTAATAAATACTCTGAATCTCTGAAACAGATCCCTACATGATGTTCTAGCACTAACGCCTGCTATACATCTGATAATTTTTTTCTGTTTCATAAACACATCTTTTGAATTAGTAGAGATCCCTCAAAATGATATGCCATATCTTATGACATACCTAGTCAACCTGTGCATGATACAAACTAATTAACTGATTTAATGGTAGAATATCTCTCAAATTTAATAATAGATAATATACTAAGTGACATATAAATCCGAACACCCAGTTTAAATGGTTTTATTTTAATAAAATTTTGTATAAGTACTTAATGAAGCATAATAAGTAAATGATAAAAATTTCAAAATGATTGCACTGCTTTAAAGCCCTTTGACCTTTAATAATGTGTGGATGCACCCTGATGTGCTACGCATTCTCCAACGCGCCTAAGCATGCTTCTGATCAGGTGGTCAATGTCCTCCTGTGGTATCTCATTCCAGGCAACCACCAACTCCTCTCGAAGTGCTTCTAGAGTCTGAGGAGGACGTTGCAAATTAAGCAATCTCCTACCCATCATATCCCACACGTGCTCAATTTGGGATAAGTCGGGAGATCTTGGTGGCAATGGTAACTATGTGACATCATTATGTTGAAAGAAGTCTATTGTGACTCTTGCAACATGTGGTCGGGCATTATCTTGTTGGAAAGTTGGATCTGCCAGGGTGTCAAGATAGGGTAAAAGATGGGGTTCTAGAACTTCGTGGAAATAACGCTGCGCGTTCATGTTACCTCTGATGAAGATTAAAGATGACCTGGTACTGTAAGCTATAGCACCCCAAACCATAACTCCAACAGTGTGATGAACATGTCTTTCAACAAAAAACTGTGAATTCCTCCTTTCACCACGTCGCCTTCTAACCCTGGCACGACCATCGTGCATGCCTAAACAAAATCGAGACTCGTCACTAAAGACAATACTGTTCCATTCCTGATCCCAGAGTGACCGTTGTCTGCACCACTCAAGGCGATTACGTCGGTGTTCTCGAGTTAAAGGGAGGACCACCCAGTGTGGCCGGTATGAAAACAAGCCAAAACTTCTCATTCGTCGGTAAACACTTCGCATGCCAATAGGTCTTCCGTGTTCTGCAAAGCATTCATTTGCAATGGACCTGGTAGTGGAGAAACGGTCCCTTAAGGCCAATAATCTTAGGCGGCGATCTTCACGGTCTGTTGTTCTACGGCGGCGTCCAGTGCCCCTTGCTCTTTGCGTACGGCCTTCTCGAAGCCATGCCTGACAACACCTAACCACAGTGTCTACACTTCTTTGCACTCTAACTGCAATTGCTCGAAAAGAAAGTCCAGCTTCCCGAAGTCCCACTATACGGCCCCTATCAAACTCACTAAGTTGACGAAATCGTACAGGTCTCCGTACTCTAGGCATCGTAACCGATCGTAAAGGATGTCAAGAACCAAAATCCGCCAACGTTGATTCTTTACTGCGGCCGAAATATTCATTTTTAGAGCGTACACTTCTCAGTCGCTGGGATGGGTGGTGTTGTGTATGAAAATCGAGTAATAGGAGTGGTCCTAACACCGATCCTACCGAAACTCGGGCCCGAATGCGCCGTATTGTAGAAAATAAATTTTCAATTTTAATTCTGAATTCCCTTCCTTCTAGGAAGAATTTGAGAAGTGTTAATAGCCAGCAAGGGAAACGGTTTTGAATAAGTTTATAAAGGAGGCCTGCATGCCACACCTTATCAAAGGCTTTCACTTCATCGAGAAAAAGGATTCGCGTGTTCTTGTCGTGGGTGAATCCGCTGGCTATATGCTTCACCAGCCTGACTGCCTGTAGCTCCATACTATGCTCGGATCGAAAACCGAATTGAACTTCATGAGAGCTGACGAAAAATTCTCAAGGTTACCACAAATTACCTGTTCGGCGAGCTTAGCAGGAGCAGACTAATGGGGCGATAACCCTGCGGAAATATTGAACCTACCGTCTTCTACATCTGGAAAGTATTGGATCCTGCACATAGCATTGATTACTGTTACCTGGTGTGTCACTGCCTTTGACGACAGCAGCTTCAGCGTCTTGTTGGTGATCTGATCCTCTCCAGGTGCCTCTCGCACCTTGAGATCATTAATATGACCTTGAAGGTCTGCTGGTGTGATGTTAGTGGCAAACTGAATTTAATTTGATATAGATAGGTAGTTAGTGTTTTTCTACTTTCTCCTTGTGGATGTGGTCTGTTAGCATAGTTTCCATGGCTCCAGTGGGTAAAATGCTGAAGCACTCTCGATCTAGACTTATACTCTAGGTATGACTCTGGGACCCACTGGGAGTCCAAAATAACCCATTTTTTACTTAAAATTCGGATCCACGACACTTCGTGATTATGTTCTAAATCAGTGTGTCAAATACGTAGTGATTCCAAGTTCATTCACTTCCATCTACTCAAGTTGAAAATGGAAATGTCGCGATTCAAGGTCTGGTTTGTATTGTCAATATTTGTGAAATGAAATAAAATACGTGAATTTTTATCATCTTAATCTTTTATTAAAACTTGGAAATTATGTATGAAAAATAATATCAGACTTTTTGGTAGGTTTCGGGAGGAATATTTTCAATCGCGTGCGTAATATTGTTCTTCAGCTGCTCTACAGTTTTTGGTTGGTTGGCATAAACTCCATTTTCCAAAAATCCCCATAAAAAAGTCAGGAGCCGTTGAATCCGGTGACCTTGGTGGCCAGTTGACATCAAAATTGAACGTCCCGGAAATATTGTTCCCAACAGATTCATTGTTTCCCTAGCTGTGTGACATGTTGCTCCGTCCTGCTGGAACCACATGTTTTTCAAGTTAAATTGTTGGATTTGAGGAGCCAGAAAGTTTTGCACCATATCACGGTAGCGCTCGCCAGTGACAGTAAGAGAATTACCTGCAGGGTCTTCAAAGAATTATGGTCCAATGACACCTCCATACCAAATACCCCACCAAACTGACTCGACGAGAATGTAGTGGCCGTTGATGGATGACATGAGGATTGTTCTCTAATGCCCAGATACGACAATTCTGTTTATTAACAAATCCGTTCATATCAAAGTGGGCTTCATCGCTCATTATCAGTATGTTGTCGGTAAATCTTTATTTTGGGTATTAAACTGCAATATTGCATGACTGTATTGTCGGCGACTTTCATGTGGTCACTAGGCTGTAGTTCTTGGGTTTACTGAATTTTGAATGGCCGCAAATGAAAGTCTTTTTTTAAACTAGTGCATAATGACGTGCGAAGAATACCCACTTCTTTAAAACGATGTCTGGTAGACGTCTCAGGACGCTCCACTACACTTTCACGAACTCTCTCGATATTTTCCATCACTTTTTGATAGGTGTCGGAAGGAACCTTAGCAAGACTTTAACTCTACCTGTTTGTTCAAATTTCCGCACCAACTGACAAAGGGCACATTGTTTCGACCGAAATATTGTCGTAGCTTCCGAATCGTTGCAACAATCGACTCATTATTTAAGTAAAACGTTTTAACAATACGGACGCGTTGCGGGATCGTGTACCACTCCATGATGAATTGGACACATGTGCTTTATACAACTACTGCGGCGCCACCTACTGAAATGCGTGTATCAAAAATGGCTCGCAATTTAAATCGTCAGTTATATATTGACGACCTTGTATTTACCTGCCTGAAATTATGAAATTACCAAACATGTAAACAAAAACCTTTTTATGTCTAGTTGGTTTCTCCTTTATTTACAGAACTTATAAATGACAGGTTCAAAGTAGGGAGATCAACAACTTGTGATGTTGTAATAGGAAATAGCATAGGACAGGGTATTATAGGAAGTATCAGTAAAGAACATTTCCTTATTATCAAGGAAAGCAGTAAAGTATATTTGGTTGACACCAGCAAGAATGGAACATACAAAAATGGCGAACGTATCAAGAAAAATGAAAAAACACCATTGAAAGATGGGGACAAAATTGCCATTGGTTCACATTCACATCATGGTAAGTTCATAAAAGTATGTTTAAAGGATTTTTGTCACCAAATTGTGAAACATTCCATCATTAGCCTAATGATATCCTTTGTCAAATGTTTTTGCTCTAAATTCGATTGATAAAGCTATCATTTGCGGCTGTTCCTTGACCTTGTGTGCCATACTGTGAACAATCACAAATAATCTTTTGGTCAGTTGTTTATCATGTCACAAAGACCCCAATGTCACTCTGAATTGAGGATAATAGCAGATCAAACATTGTTCTCAAAGAAAATGGACAAATTGAGCCTAAACATACTGTACCAAACTCTTCTATACATCTATACTATCATTGGACTGAAAATATTGTTTTGCAGTTTATGTCTTTAGGGAACTAACTGATGAAGATTTGCCACCGACAGCATCACCAAATGATGACTGTATGGTGCAACCTACCACTATTGTAGCTCCCTGGGGACGTTTGATCGCTTGTCTGTTATGTTTGGACTCAGTAGGTAAGAATTTTAAAAACAAAATAATTTCATTATATTTTTCATTGTGATTTAATCATTGTATTTTGTTTTTTAGATCTATATGAAACTACTGTAAGTGTAGGACGATCTTCAGATTGTGATATTTCACTTAGTAATGCAAAGATTGATCCAAAGATCAAAGCTATATTTAGTAAGCAACAATTTGTGATAAACAAAGACTGTGAAAAGGGTGTTACTTTCATAAAAGACCTAAGTACATATGGTACTTATCTGAATGGTGTTTGCATTGGCAAAAATAAACAAAATGTATTACAGAGAGATGATGTTATAGCCATAGGAAAACCAGATAGAAATGGTGAACCAAAGATTTTTTTGTAATAGTTTTTATCAATTTATATGAATACTATGAGCAAAATTTCATAACTGAAGTTGATTTTTTACTGAGCTAATCTTTCTAATGCTTCATTTTAGTATTCATATACAGAGCCTATTCTCAAGATATGACTTATCTGCCTGAGGAATTGAGGGGTAAATATGAACCTTCAATTATGCTAGGAAAAGGTGCAGCTGGTGAAGTCAGATTAGCATTTGAAAAAGTGAGTTATGCAATTGATTTATCATTTTGAATCATAAGTAAATATTGATCGTACGTCAATGGACGCGAAAAGTTTCGAAAATAAGATATAAATAAAAACCATGACACTTATTTCTGTTGGTCTGTCTGCTAATCCTATAATTGCCTATAACTTGAGAAGTACCGCTTGGATTTTAATGAAATTTTTACAAAATGTTACTTTTATGCTAAGCGCGAAAAGCTTTGTAGTTTTTTAAAATCTGTCCAACGGCGGCAGAGTATAGAGCGAAAAAAAAAAAAATAAATGAAAATCGCTCAAACTTTGTCAAGATTTTTAAAAAAGTTTAGAGGTAAAGAAAGTTGGTGGTGGTGGGGGATGTAGGGGGTAGGGAGGATTTATATAAATTTTTATTTATATGCTCCCAACCTTGGCAATTCTACGCACCTATTATACATATTTCACACATCATAGATTTAGCTGTATATTAGCCCATAAAACTACGGCTACGACATACTACCTAACGCAGGCCTTGGTGAGTTCTGTGGTTCCGGACTAATTGTATGGACTTGTCCTAGTTTTTTCTCAGAGGGACTAGTTTGTGCTGAACATAATCCTTTATGTACTTATAACGGCGTTGCGTGGGAAGTGCGGAGTCAACCTACTTGACGCCATTTTTAATTTTTAGCGTACCTGTGAAATGTTTGCAATCAAGAGAATACTGAAAGCTAGGAGCAGTACATCTCAAATGTGTAAACTAAATCACCCTCTCAAAATTCAGTCTGAGATTAATATACTACAAAGTCTAAGTCATGTAAGAATTATTTTTCTATATAAGTTCGAATATCAAACAAGATTTTATCATTTCTGTATTTTACTTGTATGACATTTTAATCTGAACAATACAAAGGACCAACATTTTGATTTTTTCAGCCATTCATTATAAAAATGAGGGATATAATAGAAACCCCAGAAGAAGTGTTCATAGTACTAGATTATATGAGAGGAGGTGAGCTAAAGCATAGGATTCAGTCTAGATCACCAATGACTGAAAACAATGTTAAGTTCCTGTTTCACCAAATTGTCCTAGCAGTTGAATATCTGCACAAGCAGGGTATTACACATAGAGACCTGAAGGTAAAGTGTACATAAGGTTGCAGTCACACCATCACTTAACTAATTCTCCAGGAAGATGCACAACCCTATGCTGTATTTGACATAGACATACAATTTCAATCAGCATAGCCATGTTGCCAAGTAGGATTACAGTAGTTCCTTGGAAGTAATAAACAGACTCAATTTTCCTCTTAAAGTAAATTGTTCATCATTACACATCATATCCAAGAAAATATCACCCCTCAACCACCCTTGTAGTTATATTCTTAAGATTTCGTACTCTCAGAATTTTCCGACGTGGAAATCTGTGGCAACAGTTCTAAAAGAGGCAGTGCTGGCACCTAAAGATACATGGTTGTGAGCAAAAGTGGTTGGTGGCGCCACGGAACTTTGGTCCGTTTTAACGTAGGCACGTCATTCAATCGAAATCTTCTGGCGGAATATGTTGATCAATTGTGAAACCAAAAAGTGACTGGTGAGGACCAGTATTCTCGTTGTTCAGCTTGAAAGCGATACATTTTAAAAACGCTTAGCAAATCATGTCGGTCAACAAAAACGTTAAGCATTTGGTTTAGGTAATCACTTTTGTGTGCTAATTCTTTAAGTTCAATCCGCCTGACACACCTTGGCAATGGTGCTTTTTCCAGTTTTACCAACATATTCTCAGTTGAGAGAGATGGCTGGCTGTGAGTTACAGTATGATTTCTGTCTGTCATCAAATAAACGCAATACAGTCAGTATCAATAAAAAAATGCTACATTCATATAAGCATATGTATACTACATTAGTGGAGGACATTTTGATTTGTTAATCGACATCATAATAGGTAGAGTACCAATTATTTCATGACAAAAGCATCACTGTTTCATTACCATTATATGAATTTTTTGGTAAGTCTTGCAAGTACAAGTAGATCATTATTGTTACTTTTGCTCAATGACTTATATGTATGATCTATGAGGCACTGGCAAAAGAGGTTGCAACATTTCCTCCACATTATTCTTATTCTTACTATAGATTTACAAAAGTTTTTTTAAAACTTGGAGAATTAAAATGGGTCATCAGCCTCTAATCTTTGCCTCCCCAATTTTCCGATATTTCTGATTAAATTGAAGCCAGTAAACTGGTATGCGCAACTAGGTACCGGAAACATTATATCAGTAATACCCAACACCCTATATGTAAATAAAAACCCAGACAGCAATAAGCAAAACACTAACTACTGAGTAGTCGTTTTGAAGTCATTAAGTTAGGCGTGAGACAAATGGGAATATCGTGTTTTAACAAACACGTCGAAAATAAGTGCAAATGACGTCATACTCGTTAGGCGACTTGGAACGCTTTTCGTTTTGAAGAACGAGAATACCGGCCCAGATCGAGGAGAGACCGAAAATAGCAGAATTGAGATTTTATTTTTTACAGCCTGAAAATGTTCTGTTGGCAACAGAAGAGACAGAAACCTTGGTAAAAGTTTCTGACTTTGGATTAAGCAAAATAACAGAAGAGGAGGATATAATGAACACTGTTTGTGGTACATACTATTACATGGCTCCAGAAGTGATTGGAGTTCGCAATCCACAGTATAACAAACAAGTGGATGTTTGGAGTTTGGGGGTGATTTTATACTATCTGCTTTCAGGATCCCTACCATTCAAGTACGTTAGGAATATATGAAAAAATGCTTTTTTTTTACTATTTTAATACATATTTTTTGTTTCAGGTCTAGCGATAAGAAAGAACTGAACCGACTAATAGTAAGTGGCCAGTATCAGATGTTTGATACATGTTGGCAAGGTGTTTCAAGAGCTGCTAGGGACTTAGTTCAAAGAATGCTCACGGTCAAGCCACAAAGTCGAATAACTATTGCCGAAATTCTCAAACACCCTTGGATAGATAAGGTGAATATCTTATCTGTACAGCTTGCGCCAGGTTGTGACAGTCAAGCCCTAGGTTCACAAATCATACTTGAACTGCGACTCTCAATATACAGGGTGATTCACAAGTCGTGACCAAAAATGAATCATCATACACATGTAACATTTTTTTCTCGAGGGCTTCACCCATTTGGTCCCAGTGGTGCGCTTACGCACCGCCAATTTTATGATTTTTTCCCGGATAGTTCCTTGTTCTAACTGCTTAATACGTGTAGTTTGAGATAATCTGTTGCTACTGTATCCAAATTTAATTTGTTTTTGACCTTGACAGCAAAGGGAAAAATGGCGGTGGTTTTTGACATGAATATTATATTTGGTTCCGTAAAACATGTCTAAAATTCAATGAATTATGGTTTAGACTCATTTTTTCCTATAATTACCTGTAAATAGTGGAAAAGAAACTTATGTGGTCTGTATGTTGTTTGTCAAAAGTTTGGCTTCGATCTTATAATTGAAGTTATACAATAGGAAACTTTGTTGGTGCGTTTGTGCACCATTGGTTTTATCAGTTAAGTATTTTCCTGTTCAGACAAGTTAGCGCGAGAACTTGACGTACGCAGTACGCATTTGCAGGTGTTTACGTTAGTTGCGTTTTAGTTGTGTTTAGTGCATACCATCGAGATATGTGCATACATCCATCTTAAGAATGTAATTTCGAAGATTTCTGACTGAAAGTGAATTGGAAGCTGCCGTTGAAGAAGCTGGACGAGAACTGTACAACTACAGAAAAGGTTTGTGTGCGAAAACTCCTAACCTAACCTCATTTGCATCCCTTTTATTTTTGCGTAGGTGCTCTTGATGCTGTTTACATACCTCCAGATGTAGACAATGTAACTGACGAGGAGGCTGTAGAAGATGAGCTACTACCCGAAATTGATGTACCAGGTCCTTCAGACATTGCTGGTACATTTGAACTCCACGCATTTATGAATGAAGATGATGCTGCTGAAATCCCAAACAAAGAGGAAGCCATTTTTTTTTGACGATGATGGATTCGATACTTCCGATGATGAGTTTTTGGCGTCAAAAAAATTGCGACTGGTTGCTCCCCCCGTGCCAGTCACACAACTTTTGCTGTGCCGCCCCTCCAGCCAAAGTGGGAAAAGGGTCCACTGGAGTACACTCATTCATCCATCAGCAACGAAGACATTGATATGGTGCATTTAAAGAATGTACTGGCTGGAAAAACGCCATTAGAGATGTTTTTTCTTTTCTTTGATGATGATTTGATAAATTTGATTTTAGATTTTTCTGTGAAATACGCCCAACAAAACAACAGACATGGATTTTGTTTGTCCAAAGGAGAACTTCTGAACTTCCTAGGCATTATATGCTGTTTTCTGGGTATCACACCTTGTCGCAAGTTCCGCTCTATCGGTCAAACGAGGAGGACAAGGGGATAGACATAGTGAAAAAGTGCATGAGTCTGAATAGATTCCAAGCCATAAAGCGAAACATACATTTATCTGATAATAGTAATTTAGATAAAGATGATAAATTTTCTAAGCTTCGTCCATATTTAGACGCTGTAAATAAAAAAAATATGCAGTGGGGCGTTTTTGCACACAATTTATCAATTGATGGTTCCTTATTTCAGTAGGCATTCTTGCAAAATGTTTATAAAAGGCAAGCCAGTTCGATTTGGATTCAAGCAGTGGTGTTTATGTTCGTCAGATGGATATTTATTCTATTCTATTCCATATGCAGGAGCAATCGCTAACAAAGAAAGGACGTCATTGGGACTTGGTGGTGAAATCGTCAACAATTTACTTGCCAACGTGGATTATCCTACTAGACATAATATTTTCTTTGACAACTTCTTTTCTTCATACCAACTCCTAGTTGACCTGAAGAACAAAGGTTTTTATGCCACAGGAACTATAAGAAGTAATCGAACAGGACATTGTCCGCTAGTTGAACCAAAAATCGTGTCCAAGCGAGAACGAGGAGCGTATGATTGCGCGTATGACAAAAATAACAAAATTTCAATGGTTCGTTGGAATGATAATGCTATAGTTACCATTTGAAGCAATGTATACAATGTTGAGCCTATAAACCAAGTCCGCCGATACAACAGGACAGAAAAAAGAGAAATTCATGTACAGCAACCAAACGTCATTGCTAGGTACAATCGCTGTATGAGAGGTGTCGACGTTGCAGAGAATGTCATAGTCACACAGTGCACATGTGCAAAAGGTGTAAAGTACATTTACACGTATCCTGCTTCGAAAAATATCATCAGAAATGAATATATTTCTGTCGGCCAACATCCCAATGGTGCGTGAACGCAACACCAAAAAAACATGGAAGTTCTATGTACTGGATAATTTTCAACTATGGTGGTGGAGTTGGCAGCAAAGATCTTGGCTAGCACTTCCGCCTTGGCCTTTGAGTCGAATACAATATTTCCATCCTGACACGTAAGTGGTGGAAGGCTACTGTGTGAGAATTTCTTTTCAATCTGCTTGGCCAGCGTCCAGAAAGACCGACTGCCATTGCGCTGCGACATTACCCTGTGCCTAACTTTTATATCATGCTGGTTTTTGGCATTGCGAACCGCTTCGTTATATTTGTTTCTGGACTCGACGTCGGCTTGTCTGTTCTCTACAGTGGGGTTTTGTAAGTAGGTTCTGTGGGCCTTGATCTTCTGCTGGCGAGCAGTGTCACACGATTTGTTGAACCAGCCGTTGGACCCTGGTTTAGGAACTTTCACTGTGTGAGGGATGTATTCCTCTATTCCGACGTGGATAATTTCGGTTATTGAAGAACAGACAGTCGACGCATCCGCGTCAGTGAAACAGACATCTCTCCAAGGAAAGCTAGAGAAGTCTCTGAGCCCCTCCCAGTCGGCATGTCCGTAATGTCAAGTTTTGCGGCCTGTGCGAATTTCTGCTGCCACAGCGGCTTCTGACCGAAACCTAACCTCCACAACACCGTGATCTGAGTTACCCAGGGGGGACAGGACAGCAGTGCTGTAAGGGGCAGGATGCGTGGTCAGAAAGAGATCCAGCAGGCTACTGGCGTGTGACGAGACGCGGGGGAAAAAAGTAGGGCTCGTCACCAGCTGGGTCAGCCCTTGAGTAAGAGCGAACGCTTCGACTGCACGACCTGCTGCATCGGTCTTATTTGAGCCCAGCCAAAGCTCATTATGGGCATTGAAATCACCGAGAAGAACTACTTCTGAAGCGGGGTGATTGATGTTCAGGAAGTCGATCTGGACGGCGAGGTATTCGAGTAGGTCATCCCAGCTATCGTCCGAGAGAGAGCGATAAAGGCAGCAAATAAATTTGGGTGATGTTTTGGAGTTGAGGCGAAGCCACAGAATGTCCTTCCGGTCTGATTCCAAAGAAAGATCCCTGGAGCAGGAAATACTGCTGCCGACAAAAGCCACAACTCCCCCGTTCTTTCTCAGATTGGAGTGCACCTCGTAGTTTGGGAAGTTGAGATGGTTAATCGGTGCAGTCTCTGAGATTTTTGTCTCCGCCAAGAAAAGCACGGCGGGACGATTAGATTGCAGGTAGTGATGAACAGCATCAATGTTGCTGTTGATCCCGCAGATGTTCGAAAAACAAATTTTATCTACGATGTTGTTCCCTCGAACCCACCCTCCACCCGGACATTCCGAGAGTGGAGTGAGTTTACGTCCGGAGTTTTTAGTGCTCGCGGGATCCATCATCATTAATTTCTTTGTTTTGGTAGATAACCGACTGCATAGCTTAGGTGTGGAAACATGCGGACATTTATGACACCCTGGGAAAAGCTAGCGGGTGGTACTGTCTCGGTCGACTGGTCCTTGTCTACCACCTTCTTTGTACGTGTTAGTGATGTTAAATAGACCTAAAGTGGCCCGTTGTATAATAATTCCACTAAGAATCTCCAATTTTTGAAGGGATTGAAGTACTTATAATATATTTGCCCTATTAAAAGTTTGTCTTTGGTACCAGCGGTGCACAATCGAACCACGCATTTTTTTGATGATCAGTATGCAAAAAAAAATTGAAGAACTGTAAACGTTTCATTTGCATGTACTAATAAAGTGTATTAAAAAAAAAAGAGTGACTTTTACTAGTTTTGTATCATTGGTATGATATGGGTTAAAAAGACATTGAATTTTAAAAATAAAAATCAATTTTTGTTAATATCTTCAAAACCGTCAACTGGAATCAACTAAAATTAGGTATGTGGATTTACTTAAGTATTGTCCACATTTAAAAGTCTTTACTTAAAATTAACGAGCACCAGTGGCGGAGATACAGGGGATTAGTGGCATTATTTTGCCAAATAAAAATATGACGCCAGTTTTTTTTCGAAACGCGCAATTTTTCGAATTTTACCTTCAATTTGCTACAAATAATTACTCTTGTGTTTTTTCCTAGTGTACATTGTTTTCATTAAAATAAAAAAACCAAAGCTTTATTTCAATAAATGGTCAAAAAGACCACCATCCTGACGGATTCAAGTGCGGAATGTTTTTAATAAAGAAAACGTATTTCCGCAAAATTTGTTGTGGATTGAATTTATCCAATCTTTGTTGTAACTGATCAACAGTATTAATTTGTTCAGCACACACTAGTTGTTCAGGAGGTTCAAATCAGGAGACCTCGCAGGACAATGTACGGGTCCGTTTCTGCCAATCCATCCTTGTCTAAAATGATTATTTTTTAACCATGCGGTTTTGTCACGACGGAAATGCGGTGGGGACCGTCGTGCCGATACCGCATTCGTACTATCGTTGCTAACGGAACATCATCTAACACATTTTCTATGTAATTCTCTAGAAAAGCTAAGTATGAGTTTGCAGTAAAACGTTGTGGCAATACGTGCATAAACAGTTGGCCATTGAAAATGCCGCACCTGACATTTCTAGAAAATCTGTGTTGAAACGGGTGGATTCTTACAGAACGGGGATTTTATAACGACCAAATATCATTAGGCAGCAGCGGTGGTCGCAGTAGTAGACTCTTCGGTCTCCTGATCAGTCGCCGTGCGTTGTGCGGGTTCGAATTCCGTCCCAAGAGAAATTTTGATTATGCATTAGCAGTTACCACTCACAAAAATGTCGCCGTTGCATTTCGTCGCTGGGTTGCAGACATTGCACATTTAGCCGATGGTAAGGATGTAAAACTTAATTTAAAAATCTCCTCGCAAGAGTTTGGCAACCTAGTAACTGGGCTGCAATCCGCCTAGTACTTGTACTAGGATCATCCAACGCCAAAGTAATCACTTCCAGTTCCTCTTGAACAGTATGCCATGGCCTCTAACTCCGGGAAGTTTCGCAATTCCATATTGCCAAAGTCTTCGAAATGAACGCGTAAAAACCTTTGAGGTAGGTTGGCGTCTGTTAGGAAATCTACGTTGATACCACCGAGAAGCCGCTAAAGCATTTCCATTACAGAACCCGCACACAAAAATAATACCGGCGTACTCAAAATTGCTAAATTCCATTTCGCAATGCACAAAAATGGAAAAAAGAAACTTTTGACTTTTTTCCTTCTATTTTATTTTGAAACTAATTGTATCTCAGCTCTTCATGAATGATCAAATGACCAAGAAAACGTTGCACTCTAGGAAAAAACACAGGAGTAATTATTTGTAGCAAATTGAAGGTAAAATTCGAAAAATTGCGTTTCGAGGAAAAAATAACGGTGGCGACTATTTTTATTTGGAAAAATAATGCCACTAATCCCCTGTATCTCCGCTACTAGTGCCGTTAATTTTGAGTAAAGACTTTTGAATGTGGACAATAGTTCGGTAAATTCACATACCAAATTTTAGTTCATTCCAGTTGACGGTTTTGAAGATAGTAAAAAAGTTGCTGTTTATTATTTAACTCCAACTATCCTGTTAATGAAGCCCTTGAGGAAAAAATGTTACACGGAACACCCCTCTTAAAATGCGGTCCCTATCTATGATGTTTCATGTTGTGAATCATACTCCCTGTATAACAAACTGTCCGTGATTTAAATCCATCCTCATGAGAAGTTACAATCAGAACCACCTATAACGGTTGATTAACGTATTCTATCTGAAAATAGCCGACTCATTACTATTTTCCCACGACTAAAAAATGACTCGAGATGAAATGAGACAGTGTTATCTATGAAAATTTGTCTGTTATGTTCTTCTTTTATGCACTAATTATAAATCTACCTTGAAAAGGTTAGTGTGCCATAGTCTCATAGATGACGCTGTAGCCAAATATATGCCAATATAATTGATTACAGCACAATGTATGAGACTCGAACCTTTTCAAAGTAGATTTCTAATTAGTGAAGAGAGGAGAAATATGTCGGTGACAAATTGCTTAGATGATGCTACAATGTCTCATTTCATATCTGATGATTTTTTTATACGCGGGAACATTGTATTAGGTTGGTACAACACTGCAAATTTAGCTAATTCAGTGTTTACTTACCAATACTTTTGTGTGCTGTCTTTCGGTTGAAATAAACTTTGTGTTATTCTAATATTTTATAGGACCTGGCTATGCAATATCGGGTGAACACACTTCTTGAAGCAAACATGATTACCTCGCAAGAATTTGTGGTAACGTACAACATGGATCCTCCAGCAAAACGACTCAGATTGTATTCATCTGAAGAACCAACAATGTAGGATACATTTTTCAATTTTGTTGCAATATTTTTTTTGTACGAATATTTACAACTTAAAACTTTATATTTGTAAATGTAGCGTATTTGTATTTATTTTCATGTTTTTTCATTTTTTACTACATTTATACCCCAGTGAATCTGTTTTTGTACTGGCCAAGGTGTCACCTCTGAAATATTTACTACACACACAACTATCTTAATATCTGTATTGTCTACGGTGTAGATTTGTTTCTACATTTATAAGTAAGATTATAGATGCTCTATTTGTTTGATCCCCTATAGTGTCGTCAGTATGAGTACTCCTATAATGCACATGTTGACATGTTATGGTTGTACCAAGTATTATTTTTGTATTATATCATATTGTTTTATATGTGAGGAGTTTGTGCCATATCATTTCGTTTTGTTTTCTTGATTTTTTGTTGTACCAGATTCTACGTATTTAAAATGTAGTGATACCACAGACCCTTGACGTGCACTATTGATATGAAAAACTCCTAGGCTATGTATCGTTTGTCGCCTGATAACATTAAAATTATCTCATTTTTGTCATAGTTTTGGATGTCTCAAGAGCTGTACGCACCAAATATTATTTTCTGAAGAACAAAGGTGTTTTCCATATAAAAAAGTAAAATATATCAATGTTGCACAACACCTTTTGTGGGTCTGTGCACTTTTATACTATATCTTTAGGATACAAACTTTTGTATTTTTGTATGTGTAGCTTGTATTTCTATTTTTCTAAAATAAATTTCTCATCACTTTTTCTATTAATTTATAATTGCCTAAACATTATTCCAGCATTTTTGGGCTTTTGAGCCATCCAGGTATTGGTTTTGGTGGGATACGCTCATAATGAAATGAAAAAGTAAATTCTAAGTATGATACAGTTTATTAAAAAAAATATTAAACTATTACAACTCTCATCACTCTAGTACCTATATATTTCTATTTTAATAACAGAGATCACTTTTTACAATAAATATTTACATTTTCTACTTAGAAATACTAGTAAGTGCAGTGAAGTAATGATAGATCACATTTCAAAGGCAGTTCTTAGGAAAAATATTTGATAACGATCAGATATAACAAAATCAAAGCACTTTTATGTGATAAGAATATACAAATAGGACATTAAGCATTATCAAATACTTTTGTTTAACATACAAGCTGTATAATTGTCCAAGGTGTCTTAAAGATACCTTGTTTATTTGAGTCAGTCTAGAAATAAAATGTCAGTTCAAAGCAAAAACTCATAAAAGCAGCAATAAGAGTTTGTGCTACCTAACATAATAAAATGCAGTATTGCAGAAAACTAAAATTAATTTAGGTAGCGCATCATGGTTAAAAAAGTACCTTTTCTAATAAAAACAAGAATTAATGGGCGAGTTTTTGTTCTAAGCTGATAAAAAAATACAGTTCACGTAATCGTAGAATAAATAAATTTCATCGTATGAAAATATAAACGATATATTCACGATAAAACTTATTTGTGGTCATTTTTTACTTCCAAGTAATTTACCTATAAGGCCAAAATTTGGTATAACAGACATACCACAACTTGAAAATTAATGAAAAACACAAATTTGGAGATTAAAAAGTTGGGATAATTTCATCTGAAACACTTCCTATTTCTAGAAAAAATTATGTTAGATGATGCCATAACAGTAATCAAAAATTCAGTTCAATTTGATCTAAGTTATAAAACTATACTTGAAAGCATATTTACTTATTTTTGGTAAAAATTGCATGTTGTAAAGTACCAGCACAAAACATACGGAATTTGTCCACTGGTCATATGCTGATCAGATGTTCCAATGCGTGCAAAGCTCAGAAAAGCTTTCTACTTGAGATACAGGGTGTCAAAAATTGGCGCCTTAGCCCTGTGGGTATGCGTGCCTGTACTATTTAGGGATACGAAGTTAAACGGGAACAAAGTTGCGAGTTCAGGTAACAAAGAAAATGGCACTAAATTTGCAATTCAGAGTATTCCTGGAGACGAGTTTTCCCAAAATCGTTATATTTTTCCTAGCCTTATTGAAGTGGAACTTCAAAATAAATTGCATATTATCATTGCCACTTTTTTTCCTCTAGTGGTTGGCATAATTAGAATTTCAATATGACATTTCGTCTCTTGTCTTCATTCATCGACTACTTTTTTTTATTGCCGTCAGATTTAATTCTTGCACAGGTGAACAGAGTTTTTAATTCTGTTTCTAAAATAATAAGATACAGTGACATGAATGGTATTATAAAACTTCAAATGCCAAAAAAAGTATTTTTTGTAGTTCGTCTTAACTCGTCGAATGAAAAATGTTTTCATATTATTTGATGGTAGCATTGAAAACTTTGAACACAGTATCAATTTATGTGACTGACAGAGACATTTTAGATTAATTAAAAGCGTCGACGGTATTTTGCAGCTTCCTAAACACATTTGATATCAGCTATATCTAAACTGATGCAATGTCTTGCATTGATTGACAAAACTAATCTATGGCTGAGGTTTATGTGGAGCGCTGCTAAAATAACGATTGTTATAGTCGATAAATGGGCCAAGTATCTGCATATCTTTTAAGCATGCTCCTCAAAAACTGAAGCATTGTAGATTTAATCAGATAAATATGCAATAAACTATGAAAATATTAGCATTACTTATACATTTGGCTTGACAATAGCAATGTATACTAAACATTTTTTTAATCAGAATCCATAATAAAAAGTTGATTATTGAGGACAAACGAAACGCCAAAGTGAAAGTCCAATTTCTGGGCTTTGTGCCATTGGAATATTTTTGATCAGCACAACTATAACAGTACAAATTCCCATTAAATTTAACCAGTGGTAAAATTCCATGTTTTGAGCTTAGTACTTTGTATGAATAAGAATAAAACTATGCAATTCAAGAAATAATAGATAAGTATAATTATACCTATTATGTAAATATCATTTTCAATCAGTCTGTTATTGGCCAGACCAACATTACTGTGCCACATTGTCAGGATAGAAAGCAAACGAATGTAGTAGTATTGCCAAAATAATGCAGTTCTACATCAAAAGTGTCTTAATACACGTTTGAAACAATTAAAACATGTTCCTCATTATTTTGAGGACATGCCCAGTGGTTTAGGATCCCAGTTCACTGTGCAGCTGTCAATTTCTTACTAAAGGTACAACCCCGATTACCAAAATTTTCAAAAATTCCTATTACTCGCTTTGACTGGTTTGTTCATCGATTTCCTCACTAGTAGCTAACTGTACAGGAATATTTTTCTTGTTGCATTTCACTATACCTTCTAGAATCTCATCAAAACTGAACAGCCCTCTGTTATCATCTGGCAAGATCAAATCAGCATCTGAAGTGGTAGGCTGAACTATATTGATGTCTTCACCATTCAAAGGTTCTGCATCACATGTCAGTTTTTCTAATTCATACATGCAGATGAGCTTGTAATCTTCATTGCAATCTTTCGTTCCTTCGTCGTCGTTGTCTATTTTTTCTATGGTTTTGCTGTCTTTCTTTTTGACGTATGTGCGTTCTACTTTTAGACCCATTTGTTCTAGACGAATGATGGCAGACCTTTCAAAATGTTCCATGTTCACAACATGCGTTTGGAGGGAGTGGTTTTCATCTTTTACTAAATTCTTTACCTGAAGCCAGAAACAATTTGTTAGCAAACACTTCATGTTACAAGAACTAACTAAAGCCTGTCTTCAACAAACCCAAGAATAATATTCTTTTAACCTAACTAATTCGACATACGGTTGGATTTTTTGCTAAGAAACTGAATCATAAAAAAATGATGTTCCAGATTTGCAAATTATGCTAAAAAATCGAAAACCTCAAATACACAAATATTTTGTACCTCTGAATTTAAAAATGTTCTTACCTTACACCTGATATTATCCAACATTGCCATAGCAGATTCATCATTGCTTTCAGCTTTGCAGGACTGTAACCTTGGATCAGGGGAATCTCTTATCACATGGTAAAATACTGCCATGTATTCTGCACAAGGTTGAAGCTGAGGCCAGGTCAAACCAGAGGCTTGTAGAGACGCTCTTTTTCCGTACATGAAATACATTGCTGCGGCCGCTATGGTGCTGTAGCTGAATTTGAGGAAACCTGGGTCCAGACTGAAGATGTCTAGTAACTGAGATGCTCTGTAAGAATAACATTTTTAATAAATACACACCAGTCACAGGGTATTAGAGATGGTTCTCAGGCAACTTCCGAAACACAAAGTTATGGAAAACACTTCATATAAAACTGGGTCTGCAAAGCCACATGGATTGAAAAAAGTGTTGGGATTTTTCTTTACATCTGTTGGAAAAGGTGCTAGTCCAAATATGTACTTTTTTTGTCAGTAGAGTTACTCAGCAACATGTTCAATATCTCAATCATCAATTTTCAAAAAATGTAAGGTGGAATATCAAAGACAAACAAGTTTAAGCACCCCCATATCATTTGAGACAAATGGTACATATGGTATCATTGTAGACAAAATGAATAAAACACTGCTGTAGTGCGGCATAAAGAATGTCTGCTTTTTGGAGAGCCTCACACTTTGTGCAAAAATCAATGATTGCAATATCAAATTAGATACTAATAGTTACCTTGTGAACTGATATCCTGAGTATTGCGGGAAGAAAAACTCTCTATTCATATCAACATGAAGCTTTTGTCTGGTGACTTTTGGTGCTTGGAAATGTATCTGCATGTAGAGATTCAGCCAATCACTGGGTGTCATTATGTTCAGGTCCCATCCCAGACTATTCAGAATCAGCAATTCGCAGGCTAGAATTTCATCTGGGGTACAGGCACCATCACAAACGTAAGAGAATTCGGATAGTTTTGGGGGATAGACTTCTTCTAACTTTGAGGCGAGGAAAAGACAGGTGACACCTACAAGTTGAAGCTGGTTTTTTGGGACGTCTGGCCGTATTGACAAAAATCTGCAATTGCAAAAAAAAATTGTATAATCAAACATTCTCCAACACTTTGATCTGCAGCATTTGCTACAAGTAATAGTATTGTGCCTTCTAAGCAGAGTCATTAAAAGTTTTGAGCTTTTCTGAATCTGAAAACTTTACTTCATTCTAAGTAAGGAAAGTAAAGTACTGTTACAGCAAAAATTTTCAAAGATCAGTATCTTTAACACTATCATAGTGAAAGATGTGTTGTGAGAAGTTGAGTCTTACCTGTCAAAGTAATCCACGCTGAGGTAGTATGTGACTCTCCTGAGGCGATAAACTTCACATACTTCCATAACCCAATCTAATAATATAGTACGCATTCTTGGCATAAAGTTACTGTAATCTTCAAAGAGGCAGGGATTCCTCAAGTTTAGGGATGCTTCTTCTTTGTACACCATAAACAGCCATACCTGACACAGAAGAAAAACAATATAACATCAACTGAAATATCATAAATTGATTAATAAATGGAGAATTGATCATATTTTTTATTTTGGTTGGTCTAGCAATATTTGGTCTTGCAACACGAAGAAGTTCGAAAATGAGATATGGTTTTGGGATGCCATATGACATCTACATCAAGAAAACTCATGTATCTAATTGCCGTAGTCTGTTTGTCTATCTGACCCCTCTATAAATTCAGAAGTTACGATCGGATTTTGATGAAATTTTGACACAAGCTTACTAATATGCCAAGGTCAAAAAAGTTTTGTAGTTTTTTAAACCGGTCAATGGTGGCGGATCTTTATTTTTCCACACTGTTTCAGAGGCTTAAAAATTAGAGGTAGGGGGTTGTAGAGGGTGAGACAGAGTGTATCTCAATTTTTTGACAGTACATTTTTACGTTTCCAACCCAGGTAATTCTAAGTTCCTATTAGACATATTTCAAACATCATAGATTTTCCCGTACATTTGCCTTTAAACGATGTTAAATGATAGCAACAGATGGGTCTCTGCATATATGTAAGTGTGTTGCTATCTGGCGGATCGGTGTTTGTTTCGCCATCGGTCATGGCCGCTGCACCGCCGTGAATGACGAGCGGCGAGGTTAATCATAGCATTAACAGAAGATAAGAGGTGGAGAATAACAAATTTTCACAGGAGAGCGGGAAAGTCAAATCTAAAATATCTCCAAAATTTTACACAAAGTCATTCTAAATTTAATTGTATGAACCAGTATGATTGACTTGATTCATCATTTTTTTTTATACATGTGTATAGCTAACATATTTCTCAGAGGGCGAACTTTGTGCCATACAAAATCCTTTATGAACTGGAGACAGCAAGTGCCGAGTCCACCAAGTTACCCTTCAAATTCCAAACATGAAATTTCGCGCTAGATCTATGATGTAAAAAGATATAGCGTGACGTACTTCCACGCCACGCCATCTTTAGAACATGAAATGCAGGTTAGGCTTGTAACAGATAAGAGAAAAATAACCTTTATATTACGACGTTGACACTTTCACACATACAGGCTCGTCATTATCTGGAATTAAAACTTAATGCTATTGCATGATTTCTCCAGTGGAAAATATAGGGGATTTGACGGAACTCTTTTTCGTTGTACGAATTTCAAACACGACTTACCCAACACGCGAGTGAAAAACTAGTATAAATACGTAAATAATCTACCCCAGCAATTAAAAATGCAATATTATCTAGCTGAAAAATGCCTCATCAAACAAGCTTAGAGAAAGCTACTTTACTTACTGTATGTGGTCAGGTACTGCCTGCCCAGCCAAATAGATTCATTATGTGTTGTATAACATTTTTTTGTAGCATATGGTACAAGTTGATCAAATATGTTGATATGCTGAAAATATGTTTATGAATTGTCATTCTTACCTCTTTAGAGTCAGCCCAATCCATTAGGGGCAACGGGGCTCTTCGCGTCTTCTGCGGAGACATAAAATCAGTCTGCCTGGCAGTACTCTTTCTCTTGCTACTCCTGCCAGTTCCAGTTCGTCTTCTTGAATGTGGAGTCTTGTGATCTCTCTCCATGATACTTGTGGCATCATCAGTAGTGTCCACATTGCTTTTTATCTCAGTCAGGGGGGTACTAGCATCAGGTGAGTCTCGAAGATTCTTGTCGCGCGCCAGGGTGCTCTCGCGCACCTCCTGGCCAAACTTGAAGCCCCATACAGTTTGTTTGTGGTGGATTTTGAGCAGGTCTTGGAAGGGAAGTTTGCTGGAAAGTTAAAAATGGTTTTTATATCTACAACATCAATACCCATATTTTCGTTCAAGTTCCTTTTCTAATACAGCTAAATGCATGAGAAATTCACTTTTAGATCTTGGAATTTGGAAAAAGATTTATATTATTCTGTGACACTGACTACATTCTTGTTTGAAGATGGTATTTTTGGATAAGAAGATTTAATTATATCACTAAATGACAACCTTGTTAAAAGATATTGTGAAATAAAGGAATTAAATCAAGAAAATAAAAATTATAAATAAAAAGATCTAACTCTACCTAGTAGCAGCATATTGTCCTTCATCAAATTCTCCGGTGAGGGCTTCTGCAGTTTTATTCTGTTCCATATCAGAGGAACCTGCTTTCATCTTATCATCAGGATTATGATGACTCATTTTTCTTTTTGTTTTATTAAAATTTACTAGAATATACTTACTTCGAAGTTCAGTCTTCCTTGATGCTATTTTTAAAAAGGCTGTAAAAAACAGAAAAACACTATAGAATTTTGCAGGAACTCAGAATAGAATAATCAAAAATATGTGTAGCACTACCACTATGATGAGTAATGCAAAATTTAGGGCAGTATTTATTTTCTGAATACTACAACTAAATATTCAAATTCAGAGTCACTCAAAAAATCACATTCCAACAGCAAAAACTATCATGAAATTTGTCTCTTATGCATGCATGCATTCTAAAACAACAACTTTTTTTGAGATACAGTGATTTGTAAATATCTTATCCACTATACTTTTTTAATACAGTTTACACAATTTCCAATATAACTTAAGTTAGATGTTTTCAAGATGGAAAGGTCTCAAACACAATTAATTTTTTTTTGATATTGTAGGAAAATGTTATCGGTTTCCCAAAACATGTGTGCTGAAAAGAATTCAGAATTTTCTTATGGGGTTCAAAGTACCTCCTATTCTATAAACTTAGCTTAAAAGAGGACTAAGATACTATGAATAAAATTTTAATATTGTCACCCCAAAATAGTTTTATGCTTTTTTAGAAAAAATACAACTTCACCACTATCAGCAGTTGTTGATTTTAATGGACACTTCAAATGTTATTGTTGAATTTACTTTCTGCCTTAAAACAGTAGTTATACTGTACTACAACTGTTTGACTTATAATATAATGATGCTACTCTGAACTTATAAACTTTTTTGAAAGCTAGATAAGATTGACCACACTTAGAAGTATAAATGCTGTAACTACTATAAAGTTACTGTTTATCCATCTTTAACTTTGTATGTGAAATAGGTCAAATTTGTTTAGGGAATAATCTATTCTGATTCCATCTGGCCACATAATACTTAAAAAATCTTTTTTGATACTGAATGTGCAACCAAAGAATAGAACTATAACAATGCTCATAATATTCCCAAGTCCATTTTCATTTTTATAATTCCACTAGTCCATATAAATCATTCCTGAAAGCCCCTTACCCTCAAAACATATTTTTCGGAGTTGCTTCTACAAAAAAAAACACGCAAATGCTTAGAACACACACATCACTTTATTTCACAAGTCTACGTTTTTAATTCAAATCTTCAATCACTTCAACCTCGGCGAATATTGAAATTTGGGAATTATACGATCTTTAGATACGTGCTGAAGGCTTTAGAAAACCCGATCAACTGAAATTGGCATCCGATTTCCCATTTCATGTATTTTATCTATGAAAATTGATGAGGTAGCCGGACACGGTTCAGCCATTTAAATTTCTGTCCAATCAACATGGCCATTTAAATCACCTTTAAACCTCTTTAAAATGTATTTGTTTACCACCTGCCCTTTAAATACCCATAGATCTTTAATTGAATTGGTTCTGAGAAAGGAAAAATACCTCTTGAAAGAAGGGATGTGCAACCAACGGGGGTAGGTTTGTCGCACTACCTGGCACACCCAGAGGTCAAAGACGGGCATTCTTCAATGGTCATTTTCTAGGGTAATTTCAGGCACAACTCGCCCGAATCTTAATATTTCAGGGTTTCGTAGCTCTCGAATCCATTTTTAGTCAGAAATATCCCCAACTGTACCCTAGATGACTTTATTTTCCCGTTTATACCCCCCATGAACACGCGTGCCAAAATTACCCGTCATTACCGACATTTTCCCTCTTAATTTATACAAAACTTAATTTTTCCACAAAAATTCATACATACAAGTACAGCAAACATATAAAAGCAACGTTCTATGTAATATTTTAAAAACTTACCATTTATAATTTACGTGAAAATAAATTTTTCTTCAGGCACACTAGATTTTCCGTAACTCCACCTTTCCGGCGAAATTATATGATTAGTACGAGAATTTAATAAGCTTTTTTAATATAAATATGAACTTTAAAGTTTCATCTATCAGGTTAACGAAAATCTGCAACTTTTTTCCTACGTGTACCGTTCACATAACCAAGCAGAAATGTCCCGGTACCCTCGGTATCCCGCCATACTAAAAAGACATTTCATGTTGTCCCGCCACTTCCAGCTGATATCCCGCGGAAAATATTGGACGGTTACGCGCCTAGCTTCACTCCGAACCAACACCACCAAAATAAAACGTAAACACACTTTCATGAACACAGTTACAGCCCTCAGCTCGCTTTAATGGCTACAAACATGATAGTTTGTAAAGAAAATCACTTTCATAATGCTCCTAACACGGATTTTGCTTAATAAAATCGCGAATCCTAACCTCACTTTTGTTTAAAACAAATGCATCGCGACGTCAAATACCCGGGCAACGTTGGATTTGTGAATCACATGTTCTGTTTAGAAGAGTCTTTGCACTTGTCAGTCCATAGAAACTCTTTATCACACCAATGATACGGAATCTAGGGCATATTTGTATAATTCAACGTTGCATAATAAGATGTATACAAACACAAACAGATGACTGGACAAATAGGAGTGAAGTTGGCTGTGCAACGGAAGCACCATCTGTTCAAAAACAATCTGCGCATGTGCTGCGATCTTAGAAGGCTGACGTCCCAGAATGAAAATGATCTAAGCATCTAAATCACAATAGGATATGAGCGCTACGGTGGGATATTCGCTAACTAAAGACTTGAAAACCACATGGGCACGGTTATACCGCGTTGAAATGCATAATTTTAAAACGGCACTTTTGATTAGCTTTTAGAACACTTTGCGGGTGATTACACTGCTTAGCTTAGTGTCAAAATAGAATTGCCAGTTTCAAGTTAAAATTTTTCCTAACCACCATACTTTTTGAATTCCACCTGAAGTCTTCCTAGCTGTGAACTGAAAGATGTATACCTACGTTATTAAGTAAAAGTTGTCCGAGTTGGTAAATGCTGTTAAAGCCAAAGTTCCTGTTGCTCATGTTGCTTTCTACAGTAAAATATTATAAAAGTGTTCTGAGTCATAACCGAATGAGCATTGAGCGGTAGCCTATTGTCTTTTCACGAGTATCCATTACGGTAGAATTATCTAGTAATATCACAGCTTAGATAACAATCACATATGGAATTCTCCTGTCAAAAACGACCGCCATTCCGGTGGACAAAATCGCATGTGAATTCCCCTAGTACAACGATGAAAGAGGTTTTAGGCCCGTATCGTCAGTCGTCCCTAAAATTGTAGGGCGCGTTTATGGCCTCCTTGATTGTCATACTCCTTTCTCTCCTTTAAAAATTTCTAGATTGCACCCGTCCCGTGTCAGCGTCAGCGCTCTCCTATTGTGAAGATATGTTTTCTTTTTAAATTGTAGGAAATTTCAGGCAGATAAAACATGATATAACTCAAAAGCAAGCACAATTTGATGCAAATAGATGTTTGTGACATAACCTCAAAATAGAGCGCTGACACGGAGAAGTAGAAAACTATGACAATCAAGAAGGCCATAAAGGCGCCCTACAATTGTAGGGACGACTGACGATACGGGCCTTAGGCCCTTAGGCCTTATCAGCGTGAAATTTCCTACAATTCAAAAAGAAAACATATCTTTACAATAGGAGAGCGCTGACGCTGACACGGGAAAAGTGTAATCTAGAAATTTTTGAAGGAGAGAAAGGAGTATGACAATCAAGGAGGCCATAAACGCGCCCTACAATTGTAGGGACGACTGACGATACGGACCTTAGTGTTCAGCAGCACCCGGTGTTGCCACGTATCACGCCAGCGGCCGCAAATATTCTTTGCAATCGTAAAATAATAATATTTCGATATCATCTAATGTAGTTTGTGTGAATCAATGATCAAAGGGAATCCGTTGGTCAAAAAAACCGACGGATGGTAATTTATTTATGAAAAAGCTTCAAAATGAACTTGTAATGGTGGAAGGTGGAAGTATTCACATTAAACGGAAAGATATTTACTTTTCCTATGTATTCTACGCTGCTGTGATATAATCAGTACATTGCATCTCCAATGTGTGCAGTGCTAACAACACCAGACAAATAGGTATAACCTTAACTCAATCATAAGAATTTCGGCGTCTTTCTTGCGGAAAAAACGAGAGCACATGTACATTCCAATGAGAGATTTAAGAAACATTGTTAATCAGTAATACTAAACCATTTTGCCTGAATATTTTTTATTCTTCGCTCATTCTAAACAAACTCTTTTAAAAAATGTATGAGTTGTCATGTAATTGTGAATCACCTTGTGGGGAATAATCTAATCATGTCAGCAAATTTCCCCGAAATAATTGTAAAGTTTCGTTTTATTGATGCAAGTTGTTTAAGGAGGTATTTAAAATATGTACGCTTAAAATGGGTACACCAATTTTTGTGGGAAAACCTTTTATTCGACAACAAAGAATGAGAAAACGTGTTTTTTGGGATTCCACTGAAAGTATTGACAGGAACGAAAAAACTCTCCAAACAAAAGTTTTAGGTATTTATGAGACCTACAAAATGAGACCACAGTAAAAAGATCTAATAATAAAAACTAATAGTAAAAAGTTATGGACGAAAACCGAGGCAAAGTGCAGGTTTTGGCACTTGTTGCTAATGCGACGATATCTGATTCTCAAATCATTCCGAAAGAAAATTGTTATTTTTATGCAAAAACACACACACACGAAGTGGTTTTTTTCCTCTCCATCTTCGTTTCCTCAGGTTGCACCCGTATCCGGATGTATCTGCATGTGTATCTACTTTTGTAGTTACATATGTGCATTCATTTCGGGCCTGATGAAGCCAACCAGCAGAAATACTTATCGCTCTGGTTACCTATCCTTTTTTGATGCTCGAATCCACTTTCCTTCTTTTTGCGGAATTTGTCCATTATTTTCCTATTTTCTTTTTTGTTATATATACAGGGTGACTTTGAAGTTGAGTCATTAATTTTCAGATAATGATTGTAGAAGGAAGATAAACCAAAATATGTGTGTAAAAATAAAAAAAAATTAAAAAAAATTTTTTATCTTGTTTTATAAAGTATCCTCCCGAGAAGTATTTCAGTGCGGACCTGTATTTGATCGTGAGGTCCCCTGTGAGGTCTTAACTCACCTGATTCACGAGCCCGTTGTACTACATTAACAAAGGCACGAGGGGTTGGTTGCACTCGATTGAGAAACCGATCCGCATAAACATGTGCCATTTTTTATTTCGTTTGAGCCACGCAACAGACACTATTCACACGCGACACTGACACTGACTGTATGTATAACTGAACTGAATAAAATAATAAACTGTACACAAACATCGTTCCAAATTCTTTCGCTTTTTTGTTTCCGATGCGATGAACCGGTAAGGCGGATTATATCCGTTGTTGCCAAACACGAGCACATGATATTGAGACAGGGCGGTACTCAAACTTCCAAAGGGCTATAACTTTGTTACTTTAATTTTACCAGAAAAATGGTAAAGGAAAAAAACATTTCTTTTGATCAGATCTATTCACTGTTAAAATAAATGACTCAACTTCGAAGTCACCCTGTATATGGGTGGTAGTCATTGCCAAAGCCAACGACTAGTTGGGTACAAAATACAATTAATTGTTAATTGGGGAAACTCTTAGGCTTAAGTTGACTCTTTTGACGATAAAATCAAGCTTTCGGCATTCTCTATGGAGCCTTCATCAGGATTCTGAAAACACAATTGTGATGCTAGCAAAGAAAAAAGACTCTCAAAACGTTTATTTTTAGAGATGTCCCACATTTTCATGACAGATCATTGCATGAATAAAAAGGCTGATGTCAAGCAGCTCAGTGTCATTTGAATTGCGAAAAGCTAGAACGGCTACATATCCAAATTGAACCAAAATCTTCACAAAATTGGAATACTTTTTCTCACTCACATTTTTCATATAAACTCACAAAACCCATCTTTTCAAGGTTGTATCAATATCACACATTCTTACACTCATATGAGCTACACAAAAATTTTCCAAGACAAGTTAATTCAGCATTTTAGTAACTTTGGGTGGAGGTTCACCGAGCGTCCCTCGTATACTTCATACCCAAAACTGGACAGAGAGGTTTACATTTCCACGGTCCGTCGCGTCAATCACTTGTCATCTGCCGACGCTTTATCTTTCCGTGCCGTCCCCCTCTCCACGTGTTGCGGGTACAGAAGGTTAGAATCTGCATTCCGATTGTTTCAACAAAATGTCGTCTCACGTGTAATATTTTTAACTTGTTCGGGTGGATTGATATTTTTTAACATTTAACGAAGGTATCTGTCGTTTTACAACAAACCCAATGTCCCCGTCCTTTTGTTTTTATACTGATTATAATTTCGATCTTCTCTACGTTCGTTCTGAAATACCTTGTGGCTGCAACCTCACCGACGAGTAAGTTGTCTGACAATTTAAATCTGTGCTGTTTTCTTTGCTAGCATCACAATTGTGTTTTCAGAATCCTGATGAAGGCTCCATAGAGAATGCCGAAAGCTTGATTTATCGTCAAAAGAGTCAACTTAAGCCTAAGAGTTTTGCCAATTTCCCAATTAACAAGTAATTGTATATATATACATATACATAGTCCTTTCACTGAAACAAAGCAGTTACATCATATTTAGTAAACTTGAATGCCAACCTAAATGCAAAATAGATCCTAAATTGGTACGTATAGTTTGAATTTAGAGCATTGCGGTTTTCACTAAAAATCAAATCATCAACTTGCGTACCCAATTATCCAAAACATTTTGTCGGTTCATGTACCAAACACCCTGTATAAACGAGTTTAAAGCTTGTCCGATCGCCAATACATATTGACTTCTTTCCAACAGGAAAAAGATGCGAGGATTCAGTAAGGTTTTATGTAACCTATTTTCAATCATTCGTCCAACTTTACCTTTTTTGCAGTGGTTGATTCTAGTGGTAGATGAGAGAACCAAGCCTAGACCATGCTGAAAGCACGAAACAGCTGTCCTGGCTGGCTGTCTTTGGTCGAACGGACGAAAGCAGAACATGTTTATTTTGTTCAATGACAAGCACGCCATAACATACATCTACTACACAGCCTGAATCGTCACTATCTAGCGGTCTCACGGCGACTGGGACTCCAATTCGCGGACTGAGATCTATACAGTCGGGTCTTTATTTTTTAACGTGACTATATGTAAATCTCCATTTTATAGCCGTTAAATGAAACCAGATATCTTCACTTAAGTTCTAACACCGCGTACCTTAAAAAATTACGATGAGCATGTACTTTGAAAAGACCGTCATGGCGGTCGAAACGTTGCCACTGTAACAGTAAACAGTGTTTCAAGCCTATGTGGTTTCATTTAGCGATGAGTCAAACAAGAACGATTCTAGGCTATCTACCATTCTTTATGCTTTATGTAGAAAAAAGTTGTCATTTTTGAGTTACCGGTGCTAGAATGTAGGACGTTTGACGTAGTGACGTTTCGGCTATCTCGGCGGCCTTTGTAAAAGCACAAATATAAGTGTTCGCGTTATCTATATGTGGTAGCGGGAAACTTCCAAATGGTAGAATCGATTTTGACCCCCTTTTGTGTTTGTAAGTTGGTTTTATAGAGTGTCCTTACATATGAGGTATACAAGAAAATCTTATATTTTTTTTTGTGGTACTGTATAATCGACGACGGAGTATAAAATGTTTCATGTATCTTCTAATTCCAACAAATTATGTTTTGACGTCAAGCAAGGTTAAGTCACAAAACGCAATAAAGACAATAATCATGACATGGTGTTTATTAACCATTCACTATTTCGTCTTTACCATAAGAGTACAAGGGACAATTCCCCAGGGGCCCCCAAATGCAGCAAAATCAAACAAAATTTACAAAAAATGTCTGAGATCCCATTGTTCTGCTCTTGAATTTTATTTAGCAATAAAGTGGGGCTCAGCAGAGCTATTACCACATATCATTAGCTACACTATTACGTAAAGAACCTAAAAAACGTAAAAAAAACACAAAATGTCAGCTTGCTGCCTAGATAGTTATTAAGGCCGGTCCAGACGCTCCATTTTGCACAACGTTTTGTCTGCACAGTCCGACACGTTGCAGATAAAACGTTGCGTGTAGACGGGAAAACTGCGCAGTTTTGACTCTGGCGCGAAGACGGTACAGTTGCAGCGATAACTGAGCTAGGAGAGCATAGATATCCGTGAACTGCGCAGACAAGTCGGTGCACGTAGATGGTAATGTTCCCGTGAGTTTCTCACAGAATTCATCCAATTATATGAAAGTAGGGGTGATCGTATTACCCCTAAATATCGCTTCAACCGCAAGTTCATTGTGGAGTACCCAACGAGGGAGGAGTGGGACGCCGGTAGCCGAGGACTCTCCGAAGTGAGCGGGCAGGTCTGGTACACGGACGGCTCGGTCACCGAAGAGGGCTCAGGTGCTGGGGTCTCTGGACCTAGAACTAGGCTATCTCTGCCTCTCGGTGAGTACACCACCATTTTCCAGGCGGAAATCTTTGCGATTCTGGCTTGTGTATCTCACATTCTGGAGGAGGGTGGGCCTAGGAGAAGAATAACAATCTTATCCGACAGCCAGGCTGCAATGAAAGCACTAAGTGCATGTAAGATTACTTCGAGTCTTGTATTGCAATGCAGGGAGGCTCTGGATTGCCTCGCAGCGAGGCATCCGGTATCGTTAATATGGGTACCGGGGCACGCTGGGATAAGGGGCAATGAGACGGCGGACACTCTGGCGAAAACAGGATCAGCCAGCAAGCTCGTTGGTCCTGAGCCAGCTCTAGGAGTAACCGCGCATAAAGCTAGGAGGAAAATGGAGACGTGGGTTGCAAGACAACACTCTCAGAAATGGAGAAGTATCTCTAGACATCTCCGCCAGGCACGAGAGCTCATTGAAGGGCCCAGTGCTAAGGATGGACGCTTCTGCCTATCTCTGGGTAGAGCCAACCTAAGGTTGCTGGTGGGACTGTTGTCTGGCCATAACACGTTAAGGCGGCACCTGCACGTGATGGGGGTGGCTGAGGATCCCTTATGCGAACGCTGCGGAGTAGAGGAAGAGACCTCGGCGCACGTTTTGTGTCGCTGTGAAGCTCTGAGCTACTATAGGCAGACTATACTGGGGTCCATTACTTTGGACCCTCAGGACGTAAAGGAGCTTGGACTCAAGGCGATTCTCAACTTCGCTAAAAGGGCGAGGCTTGTGATTTAAGTATTGTAGAGGTGCATAAGGGCCCGCTTAAGCGGCCTATGCACTGGCTCCTTATGGTGGCCGGGATGCCTCTAAAATTCAAGATTCATTCATTCATATGAAAGTTTCCCATGCATTTGGCGTGTGAAATGCATGGAGTACAGTGACAGAGATAAACAAATCGATGCAACTGCAGACCGATAAACCGTTGTGAAAAAAATTGCTGCCTTTTTAGAAGCCTCTTTCGCGACCACTTTGAACGCCTGGTACTTTCGAGGCGTTTCAATCTTCTTTTTTTCATTGAGACACATTGCCCAAACTGACCAGAGTAGTACCTCCTCCATGACAATATCACAGAAAACTGAGCGAAATATACAGATATATCTGCACCGTGTGGACGGTCTGAAAATTGCAACGTTTTCATTCCGTCTTGAGACTGCGCAGATAAAACGTTGTGCAAAATGGAGCGTCTGGACCGGCCTATAGTGTGCAGATAGTACATTCCGCGTGTGCTCGATATGAGCGCTGTAAGCGTCCATCTATGGAGGAACGATTCGACGACACGACACGCTCAATTACCATGCTGCAAGCTGCAAGTCAGTTCTCCATCATGCTTTATTGGTTGCAGAATGCCGAGTCTATAGAGTATACGCTGGGCAGATGTGTGGTTGAGTGGCAGAGTAGGAAAATCACAACTGGATGATTAAGTGTAATGGTCTGCATGTGTATAAAATCAGTGATATTTGCTATGTGAGAAAATTATTACTGAATATTCTGCCCACGAAATATATCTATTAGCTGTGCCAGACGGGTTATTTGTGTTGTCCTTTCTGACGAGGGATTATGTCCATTACGATTTTCCTTTTTTTTGAGTTTTCAAAAACTTGAGAAGCATTACGAGAAATCATCACAGAAAAATTAGATATGACCCATCACATACAAAACATTTTTGCACCGCCTAACATCTTGTACTTTTTACTTGACATCGTAAAATAAATTTCTATAAAATTTAAACGACTGGAAATACCATATTTTCTCACCTGTTAGTTTTAATATACTTCAGCAAACAGGGATTTTTTTTATCGCTCTCTTTTTTGAAATTCAACAAATTTGCATATTTAATTTCCAGGTACAATAAAAAAGTCGATGCGTAACTAATTTTTAGCTTTGCATACATATCAGGTAAGTGTATTTGGGACAAGAATCCAATGGAAATATCATCGACACATATTATTAGCACACAAATCCCCAGTATGCAATATGCACTGCCGTTTCCTTCCAGCTATGGCATACAACTCACAGCTGGGATCTCCAATAATGCCATCTCTGAAGCAGATGTTACAACACATCAGAGCTAAATATTGATAGCTGAACCATCGTGACGTTTGGGCATCACGTTCATCTACCGAACGAGTACACAATAAGTGTACAATAGCTAAAAAAATAGTGCTAAGTTGATATATTATAGGAAAACCTACATAATGTCACAAAAAACCTATATAATGTCAAAAAACTACATAATGCCATTTTTCAAGATACGTAATAACCCTCCAGGATACCGTTGTGCCTTGGGACCCTTTCAGTCGTAGATCTCCAGCTTCTGAGTGCCCAGGATACCCTACATAGTTCATGACGAACCTGTCCATTAATCTGTGTTTTCGTAATAGTGATCTATTCACGTCTCTCTTTAAATTATAACTTACTACTTGTTTTCATTTGATAATGATCACGTATAAGTTCACACGTTGAACAAAAACCGAAAAGCAATACATACTTCAAACTTGAATACTTGCGAATCGACGTTAGATATTAGACACTGCTTCATAGAGCGCTATGTTGAGGAGTCAATGAAAGTATAACTTTATACAATGAAGAAAAATATATTACTATCTATAAATACTATTAAGGCATTTTAGTGACTATCCATGGCAACCGTCCAGTTTTCTTAAAATGGTAGTAGTCATAAGCAAGTTTTCCCAGTATAAATACAATGAGGCTTGCTAAGATTCCATTTAGAAGATCTAGACCTTCTTGCAAGGAATATTCTGGAGGCAGTCTGCACACAGAGCTTCTGGATAGATCAATAATCTGTAACAAAGTAATTAAAATGGGATGTGTCAACATTTGTTATGTTTCTCATACCAATTGACGAGATGGAAATATTTCAGAAGGTCATGATTTCCGAGCATCTGATACTCGTATTTTGAAGAAAAGGTTGAAATTTATAAAAAATCTCTGTTTTTCGATGCTTCGCAATTTTCACATTACTATAGTATACCCAGGCTAGCGGCGGATTGCCAAAAACGGCGGATTACCGAGAATAATGAATTACACGTTTATCTGAAGTCACTTGAAATAGCATAAAAACCTTTGGTCGGCGCGTCCTTTGTAATTTCATGACGTATCATAGGCGTGCGGTTATTTATTTAGAACGATAATAATAATGTTTTTATATCACAATAAATGGATTTTACTATCTTCTTATTTTTTTGATTTGGGATAAAAAATACTTATATTGGGAGTTTAATTTATGTTGACTGAAAGTTAAGAAATGGAAAAATTACAGAATTCCAACGTTTGACATAGGCAAATATTTACATAGCAGGTAGGTATATAAAAAGGTATATACGTATAAAGACTTACATTATAGGTATTTATATATCATCCTCGCCTTCGGAGCTGTCGCTAGAGTCATCTTGTAGAGGAATTACAACGGGATTTACAGGAGGCAAAACACAATATTCATTTTCTTTTTCAATAATATGCCTAGAACACTGCTTCCATAGGTCTGTGGCAGCAATATGAGATACTGCATCTCTTATTGTGGCCAATAGCGATTCACTTAATTGAGGGGTCTGATTATGTTTTCTTACTTTTTTTTAAAGCAGCCCAGACCAACTCAATCGGGTTAAAAATGCAGTAATAGGGAGGTATAGTCAACGCCAAACAAAGTGGCGTGCACGTCATCACGATAAAAATTCCCCGACCTAATGCCTAGGTTTCTATCACAAACAATTGCTCTATTGCAGTTTCATATTAATGTGATATATAAATTGTAAAATGGTCATTACTCTCTTATTATGGTTAATAGTCATATAAACATTGTTATTAAAATATCACATCAGTTGCTTTCTGATAAATTTAGACGCATTATGCGAAATAAAATGTTTTGCAAACGCTCCAATCACTTATCGACATGTAAACGCACTAAACCGATTTCGCAGCGTTGACACATTGTCACCTTGAAACTTATTTAAACTGGGAACTGACATTTGTATTAATTTTGACACTGAATCAATTTGTGGCATTTCAAATCTTTATAAATCCTTTGGCCCCGCATACTGTAAATCAACAACTGTTTGTTTCAAAACAAAATTATTCATTTTACGAGTAGATAAAGGCAATTTTGGTATATAAAGATGCCCAAACAGTTAAATAGTCGGTGTAAGGAACTCGTGGCCTCGTTAATGCACTACTTTGAGCAAGAAAGGGACAACAACGGGCCTTTGTTGCCTTTAAATGCTGTTCAAGAGGTAGGTTACTAATAATTATATGTAATGTATATTAATAATAGTGAAATTTTATTTCATTTTTTGTAGCGTGTTGCTGCTGCTTTAAAAATTAGTTTAAGGACAGTTAGTCGTATTTCCGAGGGTGTGAAAAGTGATGCAAATTTAGAATCGCCCAAGAAAAAGCGGAGTTATATTAAACGTGTAACCAACACAGCGACATTGGATACAAGTGCCATTCGAGAAGTGATCTATAATATGTATCACAAAAGTAAGATCTTATTATAATAACTTATCAGAAAGTTGCATTAATTTGTTAACTAAATTATAATGTCATATTACACATGGTTTCAGAAGAACAAGTTACGATACAAACTTTATGGTCTCGATTAAGAGATAGGGCATTATTTGATGGTAGTGCCACGTCTTTAAGGCGGTTGCTTAGAGATCTTGGATTTAAGTGGCTTAAGGACAATCCGCGACCAGGGCTCATGGAACTACCAAGTATAGCTTTGAAAAGGGTGGAATTTCTAAGGCAATACAATCAAGCCAAGGTTGAGGCCTTATACCAGTTTGTCTTCCTCGATGAAACTTGGATATTTCAAAATGGGACCATAGGTCGCTCTTGGCAAAATGGAAACCAAAAAAGCGTGAAAGCTATTAAAACAGATGGTAAAAGGTATGTACTTTTACACAATTTGCACTATAAAATTTAAAACTGATATATTTTGGATACATTATATTACATGCTGGAAATGAAAATGGGTTTATTGAGGGTAGTGAAGCGATATTTTCTTCGAAAACAAAATTGAGCGATTACCATGGAGAGATGAACCAGGACAATTTTTTGAAATGGTTTCAACATCAGTTATTAGAAAAATTGGAGAGTCCATCTATGATTATATTGGATAACGCCCCTTATCACAGCATGATATTGAACAAAGTGCCCAACAATGCATGGACAAAAAAAAAATATCCAAGACTGGTTGACAAATCAAAACATACCATTTTTAAACACAATGTTTAAAACAGAGCTATTGAGTATTGTTGCTCGGTACATAATGCTTCTTAATTATATATATTTTGGTCGACAGTTTATATTTCTTTTGTTTATTCCTATTCTTAAAATAACTGCTTTTTTAGAAACAAACCACCTAAAATATACGTGATTGATGAATTGGCGGAACAACATGGGCACAAAGTTCTTCGTCTGCCTTCTTACCATTGTATATTTAACCCTATTGAGTTAATTTGGGGCATAGCAAAAGGTTACTATAACAGACATATTGGTAGAGATGGTAACAGTGAAAAAGACTGTTTGGATATGTGGAACGAGGCTCTACAAACGGTTACCCCAGACATGTGGAAAAATAGTGTTCGACATACTGAGCAAGAACTTTTTAAATGGTATGAAAGAGAACGAATTTTTGATCGACCAGACATCGAACCTTTAATAATCAACTTTGAGAGTGATGAAGATTCAGATTCAGACAGCGCTGAAGAAAGAAACTCCGACTAACTTTATTGTACAGAAAAAGCTTACACCAGTAGCTTACCTAATTTTAGAATGCATTTTTCTGTATGAATTCTGTAAAATAAATACCATGCATAAAATTTGGAGGACCCCATTTGGATTTTTATTCAGTACCTTTAAGCTATCAATTAAATATGGTAGTTTCATAGTGTCATCTGATCAATAATTGTCATACTTAATGATTATGCAAGTACAGATCTATAATTTTATTATACTATTATTTTTGTTCTCATTTGAGGTTAATATTGCTTATAAACCTAGATATGTAAATAATAAATTTTATTATTTTACAAAAAGTTTGGCAACAATGTAAATTTTTCAACACACCCACCTTGATGACGTGCACGCCACTTTGTTTGGCGTTGACTATAGACGTAATACTTCATGGCCATTTTGCTGAAGCAGATTGTCAACAACATAATCTTTTTCAAATTTTTGTCTTTTAATAATATCCAATAATATGGCTTTGGTTGATTTTTGTGGTATTTCCATTCCCTTATCCTTCATAAAATCAATAATGTCTTGTTTTCTTGTGCCTGTATTCGGAATTTTGTTTTTCTGTCGGGAATGGTATGGCGCATTGTCCATAATAATCACTGAATTTGGGGAAATGTTTGGTATTAACTGCTGCTCTATCCACTTTTCAAATAAGTCGGAGGTCATGTCCTCATGATAGTCGGCACATGATTTTTTGATATTTTTGGCAAATAACAACAAGGCATTAGGTATAAATCCATTTTCACTGCCAGCATGGAGAATAATGATTCGTTTTCCACGGTTGCAATACAATACAGTGCAGTGAGTCTAAGCATTTGTAATTATAAAAATCTTCAGGATAATCTTTTAATTTATCCCGTATCATTTCCAACGTGGGCACCAAATTTTCTTTATAAAATCCGTATATTATACGACGAATATCTTCCTGAAAACCCACGTCTATTCTTTTTAATTTTTGCCCTATGCGCTTTCTGTGGAAGGAATGGTTGACTACATCTCCCCTTTTTATAACCCGATAAATGGTAGACCGACTGATTTTTGTCAGGATACAAATTCTGTTTAAAATTTGATTTTGCGAGGAATCTGGATTTTCGTTTTTCAGACAATCATACATATTTAGGATTACTCTTTGGGTCTGTTCCTATAAATCTTTATGAAAGAATTCTGCCTGCACAGGTTCATCAACCATCTCCTCGTGGCTTGGAGCACTTTCCCAAGGTCTCCAAAGAGCCATATTTAGGACACACAAGAACAATCAACACAACAATTAAATCAACAAGTAAACTGAGTATTCAAAAGTCAAAAACACACAAACTAATAAAATCTATGAAAAAACACGGACAGACTAAAGAAAACACGTTTATTCACCGCTACACGGCACTGGCTAAACTGTTTCAATTTTCAGTAGCCACCTGCACTTGTTCAGAGCTCTGAAATACACGCTTTCTCATTGGCTATGTCCACGCATAGGCGTGCTTTACTCCACGTGGACCGGTGAAACTGCCTTTGATCTTATACGGGGGATATTTGCGGCGAAATTTGGCGATTTTTGCAGCAACAGAGCGTGTTAAATATAGATATATAAAACGCACCCGGTATTTCACAGTGTTTCAAGTGACTTCAGATAAACTATACGTATGTATACATATATTTACATATTGTATTCCATAAATAACAGATTTAATATTTCATACTCTGTACCGATTTATTGGGTTTGTTTTGTTGGACATAGATACATATCATGTGAACACAATTTATGTATTTTGAAGGTACTTTTCCAAATCTTTTCGCATGGTAGATTTTAGCAATTACATCTTCTCGGAGTCGTCTCAATGAAGTTAATATAGCCAGTGTAGAATTATTTTCTTCGGCCCATTTAATAATCATATTAATACTTTCCAAGGCTTCCTCAGACCTGACTGTACAAACAGTGGTAACATCTTCACCATCTGAAGAATCCGCATGTTCCGCTATTGCCTGGATTAAATCTGTATCATCCATATATGGTTCGTACTGTTCAGGATTTTCTTCAAACCATTCTTGAATCA